CTCACAACAATGTTTCTCTCTCTTTCTCCTTCCCTTCTCCTCTAAAAATGAATGGATGGGTGAATGAAATCTTTTTAAAAAATTAAAAATGGAACTACCTTATGACCAAGCAATCCCACTTCTGGGAGTATATCCAAAGAAACCTGAAACACTAATTCGAAAGAACATAAGCTCCACCATGTTCAATGCAGCGTTATTTACAGTCACCAAGATGTGGGAGCAGCCCGTGTCCATCAGCAGGTGAGTGGCTCAGAAGAAGAGCTGGGATACATGTACATGGTGGAACACTACGCAGCCGTAAAAAGAAGGGAACCTGTTGGGACGACGTGGATGGACCGGGAGAGCATTAAGCCACGTGAAATGAGCCAGTTAGAGAGAGACAAAGGCTGTATGAGTTCACTCATATGCGGAACCCAGGGAACAACCAGAACTAACCAAGTGGAGACAGACTCATGGATACAGAGAACAGACTGACAGCTGCCAGGAAGGGTGAAGGGATTAAGCAAAGAGAAAGGATGACTCACACAGACACCGGTGGTGCCCGCCCAAGGCAAGGGGGTGGGAGGAGGTCGAAGAGGGGACAAGGGGGTAAATGGTGACGGATGGAGACTCGACTCGGGGTGGTCAGCACACAATGCAGTGGACAGATGATGTGTTGTGGAACTGTACACCCGGAATCTATATAATTTCATTAGCCAATGCTGCCCTAATAGATTCAGTAAAAACACTATGTCGGCAAGAAGGTGTTGAAATCAAGAATACTTTCATTTCCCTCCCTTTTCCGAGTGTGTTGGAGTAAACAGTTGCTTGTCAGTAAAAAAATAATAACCGTGTGGTTAACAGTCATATCATGAGTCTTGGCAAAGGCTTTTTTGGGTATTTTTCATAAAAATTTAAGTGAATTATAATGAAAGGCGGTAAGGGCTGGATAACAAATCCTTTTGCCAGTCAGGTAGCTTTTAATTCTTTACTTACAACAAAATTGAAGGCAATCAAAACATCAATGCAAGAACATTAAAAAATAACGTTTGACAGAAGACGGCAGCATGAGCCGCTGCTGAGCTGAGAGAACCGAGATGGTTGAATAATAAACCCTTCCGCTGCCAGCCACTGAGTGTCCACTGGGCCGGATAGAGTTGCAGATGATGGGGGCAGACCGGTGCTGCGCTGCCGTGGCCCTGTGAAGCCTGCCGTCAGGAGGTCTCGCATGCGTGGATGGCCACGAACACATGCCGGGGGGTTTGAGGTTCTGGGAGAGGACTTGCTCCCTGCGCTCCTGTTCCTGGGGCGCTCAGGTGACATACGTCTTTTTAAGTGTCCTTGAAGGCTTTGTCTCCACTGAAGAATCAGGGTGTTTCTCCCCAAAAAGCATGAGAACCGAGCAACTGATAGTAGTGACCATTTTGTTTTTGCGTTGGCTCCAAAGGGCTCAAAGCCAAGTGCAGGGCCAACTTGTATTGTTACAAGTTGTTACCTGCATGTCCTTGTTCTAACTTTTCCTGAGGCATTGGCCTCCAAGCCTAAGTAGTTTCACCAGTCCTCATTTTCTATCTGTACATTTCCTTATTTTATTGTATGTATTTATTGTAAGACATCTCAAATCACACATCCAGCCTCTTTTCTGGATTTATTTCATCTTAAGGGTGGCTGGAGGATCTGCTACATTTGGGTTCTCCTAGGGCATCAGCATGGCTTCCTCTGCTCCGAGTTCCTCCCATCAACCAGGAGAGAGGTTACTCAGTTACACTGGGAGCTCTTGAGGGGCCGGGACTTTCGAGGCGAGCCCACAGTGCCCAGGGTCCAGCATAGAACTTCCTTTCTACAGAATGTCACCTGCCATGTAGGGACAGGATAGTAATACCCACGGTAAAAGTAATTTGTTATTTCAACTCCCTGGACTAGGAATCGGGGACTTTGGGTCCACACCAGTTCCCGAAACTCTCACCACCGAGGAGAACGAAAGACCCGGGCACAGAAAGAGGAAGGTGCTGTGTGGTGAGGGCTTTCTCTGGTGATCATGGCTGGGGAGGTAGCTCTGTTCCATCGCACTGTGAATCACATCAGCTTCACCAGTCTTTCCGTGAACCCTTACTTAATACCCCGGACATGGAGCTCATACGCTGTGCGCTGTGATGGAGACACCGTAAACGTCAAAATTACAAATGTCTGTGCAAAACCTCTACTTTACTAAAAGGGGCACCTGTAGGTAGATATGGTACCAACTCGCGCAGGTGCATGAGTCTGTGTAGTTCTCAAATGCAGCAGAGTGGGAGCTCGGGCCCAGTGCATCATTTGGACTGGCCGCACTATGAGGTAAGGACCGGGCAGGCGGTCGGACACTCTCTGCCTGTGGCGCAGGCGCTGTGGTCAAGCCCCAGGCACTGTCGTTGGCTCGGTCCACAGGGTTTGCTCACAGCCACGTTTCTCAGGTGAATCCCTTGCACTTAGTTTCAAGCCATTTTTTTTTTTTTTTTACTTTGAAATTTCTAAATGCCTCATTGAGGACAGCATGTACAAAATGAGCCAAGCCTCTGGCTTCAAAGTTCAGCTGTTTTGGGGTTATTTGACTGGACAAAAGGTCGAAAGATATCTTTCTCAGCAGGAAAAGTGTAATTTTCCACGTCTCTAATGATGTTCGGTTGAAGTGATTTCCCCCTAAAATCTCCACAAATAAATAACCTGTTCCAATGGAGTAACTAATCATGAGACGGCAAAAACGTGGGTAGTGACCCTCTCCCCTCCTTCCCATACCTGTCTGCCTGCTCATCCTGAGGGTGCACCTTTGGGGGGAGCCAGAGATCACCCCAGGTTAAAACTCAGACCTTTCAAGTCTGTACTAAGGGCACGGAAAGCACTTCTAAAAAGGCTCTAAACCGGCGGGATTACGGCAAAACCCACACCTCCATTAGGTGCTAGTCTGGGTTCCACCACCAGCTGGGAGAAGAGCCCTGGTATCTGAGACCACCCAGCGCCCCATCTGCGCAGGTGGGGCGCCACCTCGCTTCGTGACTGTGCAGGCACCATCCTGCTCGTCCACGGACTTCATTTTCCGTGCAGAGCTCGTTCTGGCCTCCCGTGCCCTGGTAACTCGGCTCACTTTGTTGAACTTGCAGCATTTACCATTGGGGGCGGAGTCGTTTTTAGTGTTTTTGTGTAAATTGCTCGATATTGCTCAGTATGAAGTTGAACCTGCCGGGAGTTAGACTTGGGGCTCCCAAGACAGAGAGGAGGGCCACGGGCACGTGTAGGAGCAGGTCCGCGTGGGAAGCCTCGTCCTCCCCCCCTCCGACCGCTGTCCCCTGGCCTGCAGGGCTAGCTGCCATTTTGACCATAAACAAGTGTTGGGCTCTCCCCGAGGAGGTGGGAGGTGGAGTTTCTGAGACAGGGTTGGCCTTGACGGGCTTCCCATTCCTGCCCCCAGGTGTCTCAGGCGTGTCCCTCTGCGTCACCAATGGACTGTCAGGTGACTGACAGCCCCCAGGACTGTCGCAGCTCCTCTCCTTCGAGCACGATTCCCATTTCACGAGTGTCTTCCTCGAGCTGCGCGAGTCTGGCCGTGCCCGGATCTGGGCCCACTCGACGTCGCGGTCCTCCGAGGCCCCCCACGCTGCTGCGCGCCCAGGTCGGGCAGGCGGGGCCCGGGAAGGCCCAGGGGCCGGGCCTCCCGCCGCTCCGCCGCGCGGCTCCGTCCCCCGGGTTAAAGAACGTCTGCGCCGCGGCCCCTGCACGTGCCCCGCCCGCGCCCCGCGCCCGCCGCGACGTCGGGGGTCTCGGCCGCGCCTCGCTGGACGTGAGTCCGTCGGGCGCGCGCGCGTCCGTGCGCGCCCCGCGCGCCTCCGGCCGGGCAGGAACTTTTCTGCGGCCGAGGCGGGGACCGAGTCTGGCCGCTGGGCCGGGGGCGCGCGGGGCGGGGGGCGTGGGGGCGGGGCGCGGGCGGGGCGCGGGCGCGGCGCGGGCGGGGGCGCGGGGCGGGCGGGCGGCGGCGGCGGCGGCGATTGGCTGGGGCGCCATCCGGGGCCTGCTCGGCGCCGCTCGCTCGCTGGCCCTGAAGGCAGCAACATGGCGGAGGTGAGCGGGGCCCGGCGGGAGGCGGCCGAGCGGCCCGGCGTCCCCGCGTCCCCGGCCCGGGCTTCGCGTCCCTGGGTGTCCCGGGCTTCGCGCGTCTACCGCGGCGGCGGGCGGGCGTGGGCTGCCGGTGGGACTAGGCCGCGGCGGGCGGGCGGAGGCGGCGGGCGGCGAGCCCGGGGCCGGGGACGGCGCCGAGTCGGGGCCGCGGGCGGACGGGGAGCCCGGGCGCAGCCGGCGGGCGGACTGCGGGGCGGCGGCGGGGCCGCGACAGTGCCGGCGGGAGGAGCGGCTTCTGGCTGCGGGGTCTTTGCTGCGGGCGCGAGAGGGAGCGGAGGGCGGGATGCGGGCGTCCGAGGTGCGGGGCCGGCGGACACCCTGCGCGATGCACTCCGGGGCCCTCGGCGGCCCTGTCCCCTGCAGGCTGCCGGCCGCCGGCCGCGTCCCCCGGGACGGGTGAGCCGGGGTTGGGCGGGTGGCGGCGAGGCCGGGGGGCAGGACCCCCGGGAGGGATCAGCGTCTCCGCTCTCTGCACGGAGGATGCATTCGTGTTCCTGTTTGGGGGTGCTGTCTGGTTGCGCTCCGATGTCCGCGCGGCCCGGACAGGGGTCCTGGGCGCAGGGTGCGCAGGTGCCGGGGAACGAGGACAGGACCGGGGACCCAGGACCCGGGGGTTTTGGGGACCTGAGATGCGGCTTGGCGCCGGTTGTTCGGACCCATGCTCTGGTTGTAACTCGCTGAGCGCCCGGAGGAGCAGCACCCGCCTGTTACGTTCGGGTCCGCGCCCGGGGCTGGGGAGGGGCCGGGAGGGCCCGGGGAGAGCCACCTCCTCGCCAGCTGTCCCGCTCCCCTGGTCGCCCGGCTAACCGTTCGCTCTCTTCTCTCTCCTAGGCTTCTTTCGGGAGTTCCAGTCCAGGTGTGTCCTATTTTCTCACCTCTCCTGTGGGCCCCCCCGGTGATGGGGCTCAGAGATCAGCCGCTGAAGGGTTTCCCACAAAAGATTGTCCTCCGGGCCTTCTTTTATCGTTTGTTTTTAAGAGTTTCAGTGCCCACTTTGGTAATTAAGTTGTTGTGATCAGCCCAGAATAACAGAACTTTTTGGCAACACAGTTGAATCGTAATCATCTTTTCTATTTTCATGCTTTTATACTGTTTTTCTCTTTTCTCGCCTGTGTAAAAAAATACCGTGTTACAAAGCTGATAACAGACAACTGTTCTTTAATTCTAAAACATCGTGTTCTTTTTTCCAAGCGGGAGACAGTTAAGGTGAAGCCATCTGCTCACAACTCCGGAAATTTGGTGTGGATGTTACTTTTTACTCTATTTGTTAGAACATCGGGGCTGCTATCAATAATTAAGCACTGTGCCCATCTCCCTGATTGTGTCTCATACGTTTTTCATAGTGGAGAAGTATCTACAGAGTGTGTTAAAATTGAAATCTGAGAGTTAGGTAAAGCTGCCTCAACCCGAAGCAACACCAGATTTCCGAGTTTGGCAGGAGAAGCAAGGGCAGGTCTGAGGTGAGCCTGCTGAGCAGCAATGTCCAGCACACCGTTTCTGAGCCTTATGTGGCCACAAAGCCCTGCTTTGTGGGATGTGATGAGGCCCGGGGACTCGCCCAGAACTCCAAGTGTTGGCACCATGCCACCCTTCAAAGCCTGGGGACCCCTGAAGCCGTCCCTGGTGAGGGCCTGGCCTGTGCTGCCCAGAACGTGCAGGTAACTTTGTGTCTGTCTCTCACCCTTCCAGCCCCCTCTGGGCTGCCTGCCACCTCCCCCTCTGGGTCTGCAAGACCAACTCTCTGACCCCGAGTAGCTCCCTGGGTGACCCTGGAGGACCAGGGGGCTGCTGTGCAGAGGCACCTGGCTCACAGGGGCTAGGGGTGCCCAGGCCCTGCACGGAGCCCCACCCCCGCAGGTCCCTGTGTGTTGGGTCCACTTTTGGGGTCTCACTGAATTCTCACCTAGGGTATTGTGAAGTAGTTAACACTATGGACAAGAAATTTGTGGTTATTTAAAAATAACTGCATACATCTTCACATTTAACAGTCGTTTTAGGATGTCTCTAATTTTGAGACAAACATTCCTTTGTTACAACTGGTTCTAGGAAAAGAACGTTTACGAGCACAATGCCAAACATCTGGATGACAATGGGGTTTTTCCATCTCATACCGCTGCCCTTTCGACGCTGCGGTCCGAACAGCAAGCGAAACGAATTCATAGTCTGTTTTCAGGCGATGAGTCGATTTTAAAGAGACTTTCAGAGCTCACAGAGACACTCGAGGCCTCGTAAGCCAGCTCTGTGTGCCTTACAGAGGAGAAGCTGGACCAGGCCCCTTGCTTCTGGCTGTCATCACCTGCCTCCCACTCTAACAGGGGGCCTGTGGGGGGTGCCCAGTGGTGTGGGGGCCACCCTGACACAGGGATGTCCAGGAAGGCCTCAGAAAGTTTTGTGAGGGTAGATGTTCTGCTTTTCAGCTATATAATATTTTTGCTTTAAAGTTAATTAACCCACCTATACTTCCGCAAGTTTTTTAAATAAGCAGGTAATATTTTCAGCATTAAAAAAGTAAGGTGATGTAAACCTCCTAAAGAATAAAGTCTCATAGGAAGTATGTGTATTTATTTTTTGGAGCAAATGATCAGGGATATCTATACTCAGAATCAAGACCATTGAATCATGTCTGTGGTTTTTTTTCCATAGTGAAAAATCTTAGGTCAAGATCAGCACTTTATTAATGATCTCACACTGTCCTTAAGTGTTTGAAATTTCAAAATATTAAATAGCTTGACTAAAAAGAGATTAAACTTTCTGTATTAAATACGCATCTGTGCGCCTCTCCCTCCATTCACCTCAGGGTTCTGATACTTTTTTCCTTCCTGGCTCTGAGACTCACTGGTCTAATCGGATTAGATTCTGGAGCAAAACACATGGAGAAAGTCCCATTTTTCATCATTTGATTTCATTCACGGGATTATGGATCTTATTTATCTTTCCACTTTGTTTTCAGAGTATCTTGTAACTTCATATTTGCCATTCAAATGTGTTACGATCACACAAGCAGCTCACAACGGGCCACATCATCCAAAACTACGGTTTTCTGTGTCCCCTTCATGTGAGCTTCAGGATGCTTTAAGTCACCTGGGGAAAGGCAAGCTCTTGCAGTGTGACGCCGCCCGGTTCACGCCCGGGAGGCGGAGAGGCTGCTGCGGACCCGATCGCCGCACAGCTGCTTCACAGAGGCCGGAGCTGGTTCAAAAACCAGGTTTCTGTTGTATTTTGCACCCTTAATTGAGGTTTGGAATTTGGGTAATATATTCTCTTCTCCCAAAGTGTCTAGCCTTAGTGTATTTCTGGAATCTTTGATCCATTAGTTTTATACACATGTATTACACTAACCCCATAAGCAAGTTTGACTTTTCTCTTAGAACGTTTATTTAGGAGCACTGCGTTTAGAACTCACTCTGCTGCTATTTAAGTCTTATTCTTACGGACTTGAGTCCTTATGAGTATCGTTGAGTTCCTCCGCCTGCCGCCCCTGCTGGGTTCGAGGTCTTCGCAGCCCTGTGTGGTCCGGCTCTGCGGCCTCTGAGGGGCGGAGCCAACGCGCCTGCGGGGCGCAGGCGCGGTAGGCCGGAGGCGCTGGCCGGGGAACGCAGGCACGGGCTTCAGTGTGTAAGCGAGCAGACCTGCAAGGCCATTGACCTCGTTCGTCCCACAGGGTCTCTGTCCTCTGAGGACCACGACTTCGACCCCACCGCGGAGACGCTGGCCCAGGGCTACGATGAGGACAGGGCTCTGGAGGAGGAGGAGGTGATGGACGGGGGCAAGGACTTCGGCTCGGAGATCGAAGACCTGGAGAAGGTACAGGGTGTGGCTTTTACTGCCAGCGAAGGTTTTTGAAATTTCTGTTTAAGTTATTTTCCTCTCTGCTGGTTTTGATCTAACTTTTACAGAGTGTCACTGTAAAAGTGACAGCCTAGGAAGATAGCCTAATAAGTACATTTTTACTTAATTTTTAAAGCTTATTCTGTTGCCTTAACTTTTAAGTGTACGCCAGCACAGTGAAGGAAGGCGGTGCACCTGATGACGGACGGACTGTGGGGACTCCAGTCCGGGGGGCCCGAGACTTGGTCCTGAGCCCCTGCCCGGCACCCCTGTGCCAGCCCAGGCTGCCGGCTGAGGGCCGGGCCGAGTTAGCGGCAGGGCCCCGGGGAGCGGCCTTTCCCACAGGTTGTGTGCAGTCTGGTAGATGAGATGTCCTGAGAGCGTCAAAGGGGAAAATGGTTTACTCTTAAATGTAAGTCAGCAACATCTGATTGTCTCCCCCACCCCGCCCCCGTCATCTTTTTAAAAGTTGGCAGGAATAAATGTTTTGATTTGATTTTCAAGTCAAGATCGATGTGATTTCAGATCAGCTGGATTTGAAACTCACATCTGTCCCAGGAGTGCAAGGAGAGGCTTGCGTGGGGGGCTGGGAAAGTGTCAGGTCATACTTCCCCATGTGTTGACCTTATTGCACATTTGTGATCAGCCCAGAATCACAGAACCTTTCAGGAATACGACAGAGTAATCACCATCTTCTGAGTTGTCACATCCGTTTCCTCAAAGACAACACAGCACATTCTGACAGCAGTAGTCTCCTCTGCCGACCCTGCCCAGCGGGTGGGCCGCGGTTCCCGCCGCTGCACATGGGTCGGGCGCAGAGTCTTCTGGGCTGGGCTTGCTCTGCTGGGCCTGGCATTTTCCAGAGTTGTTCACTGGCAGATGAATCCACTGCCATTGCAGTTAGATTCATTCATTTAAAAAACGCATAGATCTGTAAAAGCCAAACGTGTTTGACAGATAAAATTGATAGGAGACACACAGGAGGAAAAGCGTTGCTTCTTTTAGGGGTGATGATAAAATACCAGCTGTGGGTGAGAAAGGATGCCCGAGCCTTGAGTCCTGCCCCTGCCCTATTCCGGCAGCTCCTTCCTGCCTCCAAGGCGGGTGTGGGGGGACCCAGAGCACCTGGGGCCTGGCGTGCAGCTGGCAGTATCAGCCCTGCTCTGGGGCAGGGAGCGGCTTGACCCTGCCCCTGAGATCCAGGAGCTCGGGGCGAGTGTGGGGACAGCTGGGAACACAGAGTGCCGTACGCTGCACTGAGAAGCACAAGAGCTGTCAGCAGGGCATGCTCTGAGGGGCAGGGGGCCTGCTTAGCCCTGGGGAGGGTGGTCCATGGACGTCTTTTGGGGGGCGCTGCTCGTGGAGCGCAGATCCAAGGACCCTGCCAGGGTGCAGGTGCAAGACACCTGCCGCCCCATGCTTGTTGCTGCAGGCAGGAGGTGGCAGCCTCAGCACGTGATGTGGGAGGTGGTGTCTGCATGCTGGGCTGTGCTTGGGCAACACAGGCAGCTGTTTGTCAAAGACCGGCAGGGACTGGACTCTTCACGCCACGTGTTAGCGGCCACCGGAAGGCGCGTGGCCCGGTGGAGGTGCACATGGTCTGGCAGAATCTGTTACCTTTTAGAGGTGGTGAGAGCTGCCTTGATCTGTGTCCAGTGAGTGTTAAAAGAGGAAACTGGGGGAGATTTAGAGAAGTAATTGGGAGCAGAGTTCCTCACTTGCCTTCCCGCAGGAACAGAGTCCCCATTCCAGCGACTTCGCTCCGTTGGTGAGCACCGGTCATTAAAGCCTTAGCTTCCTCACCCGTGAGGTGGCGTTAGTAGCACAGCCGCCAGCAGATGGGTTAGGAAAATGAAGGCAGAACAGGAGGCAGACCCAGCGAGTGGTAGGAGGTGAAAGGCTCGCTGTCTTTCCAATGGCGTTGGTGTCAGTGACTGTTCAGCAGGGGGTCCGATCAGGAGTCAACGTGCGGGATAAGTAAGCGGAGCGGTGAACTGCGCATGGCGGGGGGGGGGGGGCGGCGGACGGGAAGTCACAGGAAGTCACTGACTGAGTGGAATTGTTTTCAAGGTGGTCCTGGGAAAGGGGGACCAGGGGGCTCCTTGTGGGGCGGCTGCGCTCGTGTTAACGGTGGCTCTCGGGGCTCGGGCCTGGCATCCGGCAGGGCGTGGAGAGGGCACTGGAGGGTGGCCCCGCCTGACTCTCCCCCGCGCGCCCGCGCCCCGCTCACGAGTGCCCGGCCCCGCAGGAGGGAAGCCTGCCTCTGGAGGACCTGCTGGCCTTCTACGGCTGCGGGCCCACCCTGCCCGCCACCGCGGACTCCAGCGTGGACAGCTCCCCGAGTGGCCTTGCGGATGAGCTGCCAGACATGACCCTGGACAAAGTGAGTGCGGGCGTCAGAAAGAGGGATTCCAGGGCCACGGCCACTGGCTGTTTTTGGTAGCGTTTTCCTTAAATGAAAGGGTGTTAGAGTTCTGAAATGTAAACTCCGTCTCCGTCCATCGCTCTTCCCGCTTTGGTGACTGATTTGAATGTTGTTTGGCTTTGATCACACCATGGTAACAGCGGTGGTGGCTTCCTAATGCTTTGCATGTTTGCGGATCCGTGATGTCCCGTCTTTCCTGCGCAGACGTGTTTTGCCTGAACGTAGATTTTGTTCTAACCCTTTTTGACTGTGAACACCTGGAAGCACTGCTCAGTGGAGCCCGGGAGCCTTCCGACGGAGCTGGCTCCAGCGGGGGGGTTGGAGACAGGTTCCGGGCCTGGGGCCCTGCGAGGGTCAGCGGGCCCGTCGCTGGCAGGCTGCCGTGGGGCAGGCCCGGTCCCTGCTGAGGAGCATTCACACCGCGCTGTCTCTGCTAACAGATCCCCGGGGAGCCTCCCTCGCCTTTCCGCTCTCAGGCAGGGAGAGGAATCCACATCTTGGAGCCTCTTCCTGTGAGTTACGTTCCCACTTCTCAGTCGAATGTCGTGTGAATGTGCCGCCCAGAGCCGGTGACTGTGTCCGCTCGGCAGATGGCGTGTGCCAGCCAGGCCCCGGCACTGGGCGGTTGCCACCCGCACGGCCTTGTGTGCGGGCCCGTGTCCGCTGAGGTGGCATCGCTGCTGGTCAGGGCTGCTCACTAGTGGGCTTTCCACGTGGTGGGAGGGTGTTGCCAGGCGTTTCCGTTTGTTTCGGTCATCCCTCAGTGTCTGCGGGGGTGGGGTGGCCCCAGGACCCCGGGGACACCAGCATCCGAGAAGCTCAGGCCCCTGCTGCGGGTGGCGGTCACCCCGGTGGCTCCAGCCCCTGACACCACAGTGCTGGGAGCAGTGGCGGGCGGCCCTGTTGTGGGGGTGACGTGCGGAGGGGCCTGGGTGTCGGGGCGGACTGCCGCCTGGGCCTGGCTGCCCAGGATGCGACAGCGACAGTGGCACTTTCCCAAGTAGTTCAGGTCCACAGTTGGCTGGATTGTGGATGTAAAACCCTCAGATACTAAGGGCTGACTTTATTCTGGCAGAAAGTGAATTTAATTGTTAACCACTTAGTAAGATTATTTTTGTTCTGAAGTCACTGAAGGTTAGCCTGCAGCTTCAAATAAGCTCTTTGCATACCCACAAATTAGGCAAATTGTTTTAAATGTATAATAGTATCGTTATTAAATATAATTGTCTTAAGTGTTTTTAAATATTTACGTGAACTAAGTTACAGAATTTCAGATCTTCTCAAAGCTGAAGGAGCTTCAACTAGTTCTTAACTACAATACCACAATAATGTCTATGAATAAGGTTATGAAAAGATGTCTTTAAAAGCTGGCGAGGGGCTGGTTTCTAACTCTGGCCGCTGTGCCCCTGCCCTCACAGGAGGAGATAGCCAAAGACCTCTTGTCCGGGGACGACGAGGAGACGCAGTCTTCTGCAGACGACCTGACCCCGTCCGTGACCTCCCACGAGACGTCCGACTTCTTCCCGAGGCCGTTGCGATGTAAGGCTCGGGGGTGCCTGCCCGGGGGCCGTGTCGCCGCTCTCGCTTAGCCGGGTTTCAGTGCGTGCAATGGCCTGTCAAAATGTTCTTAAAGTTTTACCTGGTTGAAATAAAACGCCGTGAAGACCTAGTAGGAACATAAACTTTTTTACTGGGATCCAGGTTCACTGGTGCCGTGTTTGGGGACCGGCCACGCGCACGGTTGGGCATAGCGACCAGCTCCCCGGGGCCGCCTGCTCCTGGGAGAGTCGGTCCTGGCTCAGCCGTGGGGCTTCGCTGATGGTGAAAGGCCCGACTCTCCCGTCTTTAAAAACTATCGGTCGCTCAAATGTTATTTTTTACTTCTAGTGATTTGATCATTTCTTTTAGTTCTCGGTGTTATCCCTTAACACGTATCAGTAATACTCAGAAGGTCCTTGCTGGGGAATAATTTCTCACGTGCAGCTTATTTCCCAGGCATTTTTGTGGTCCAGCTGTTCAGTTCACTAGTACAAATGCACACGCGTGTGTGCAGACACTTAGTGTGCGGCCCGGGCTGATGAGCGGAACTGGGCCCCAGTGCTTGATCTGCCTTTTCAGGGCGGCCCTCGAGGGCGCCCCGAGCCTCCCCAAACTCCCGGACCGAGCACCAAATAACCGTAAGGACACCGCCAGGGGCGTCCAACCTGCGGCCCAGCACAGAATGTAACTACTGGAAGACTGAGGCTCTTTTTGGTTCCCAGTCTCAGTGTGTTTAACGTGTGGCCCAGAGACGCCCAGAGGCCCGAGCGCCTGCACACGCCCTCCTTGTCTTCTGGGCCTTGGTCAGCGTCAGAAGTGTGGGAAAGGTGCGGGAGGGTGCGTGTGTTCGCTCTGCCTCAGGAGTCAGCATGTTCTAATAAACGCCAGGTTACGACAGGTGCCAGGAACTCTTGTGTGGGCGCCACAAAAATAGGCGACAAACGCCTTCTGAATTGAGTTTCCTTCCTCCAAGCGAACACGACCTGTGACGGGGACAAGGAGTCAGAGGCGGAGGGCGTCGAAGCAGACGGCGGGGAGGCGCCCGAAGACTTGAGGAAGGTAAGGTGAGCGGTCACCAAAACTTAGTGACCATTCGGACCGACGAGTTAAAGTGGCTTTTTAAATAATTTAGGGGATTTTGTTACCACGTGATGCAGTTCCTTTTGACCTGCAGTGACCGATTAGCGGGCTGGAAACCTGCAGTGTGTGTTTCTGTAGTGAGTTGTCCGCGTCCCCTGCAGGAGATCATGATCGGCTTGCAGTACCAGGCGGAGATCCCCCCTTACCTCGGGGAGTACGCCGGGCAGGAGAGAGGTAAGGGGCGTGGGTTTCCACACCGCTCGGTGGGCCGGATGCCTCGTAACACGGTTATTTCCGTGGCAGTGGGAGAGTCTGGGGTCCCGGAAGGGGTGGCCCGGCTCCGGACGCTGCCTCCCGTGAGCGCCACCCCGCCCCTCGGCTGGCATCCGGCTGCAGCTCGGTGGGGTGGCACCGCCGGAGGTAACGGGAGTGCCAGGACGCGGTCCTCTTGGGAAGAAACCCCGCCCGGGCCTGGAGGGGGGCGGTGGGACGGGGGGCCGTGCTCTCGGTCCCACACTCCGCTTCAGCGTGATGGGGTTCTCCTCACGTGGCTGGCAGACCCCTGCGCTAGCAGGTTCTGAAAGTGGGGAGAAATAGAGACCCGGGTCTCCTTTCCTGGGTGAGCCTGGGCAGGCAGGTGTGGCCGCGTGGCTTTGGCCTCTTTCCTGACGAGCGGCTCGGTTGAGGTCATGGCAGCAGCAGAGCACATCCCGAGCTCTCCCCTCCCCCTGGGCGGGCAGGCAGGGGCCCGGCCCCGGCGCCCCAGCTTGGCAGCCTTGGCGGTCTTGGCAGTGCCGTCCCCCGAACGGCTCTCGGAGTGCTGGGGGCAGCCGTCCCGGGAGGCGCGCGGTGGCTGGTCGTCTTCAGATGCCCCGCCTCTCCACGCCTGCCCCCCAGTGCCCCCCACTCACACTGGGGAGGGAAGGTGGACCTGCTCTGTCCTGAGGGAGCACACCCCAGGTGTTTCACCCGGGTCCATCTTGACCAAAGTGCGGGCACGTCCTGTATCAACCTTCCCACTGGCTGGGAGCCGTGGTGCCACCGTCCCCAGCTGTGAGCCCGATGCACTGGCCCCGGTCCCTGGTGCACGGCGGCCCCGGCAGCTATTTTGTCAGCTCTGCCCAGTGCTCGTCCCACACCCAAGGAACAGGTGGCCCCTGGGGCAGAGCTCCATGGGGGGCAGGGGAGCGGTGGGCACTCTCCTCCTGACAACACTGCGGCGCTGCAGCTGCCCCAGGCGCACTCCTGGCTCGGTGACGGCCCGCTGGTCCCTGCGGCCGCCTCTGTAAGAGTGTGGGCCGTTCAGTTCTCGTACTGTCTCATTCTTGACTGATCTGACCTCTACAAATAAAAATTCAACTTTCGGGACAAAGTCAATGAAGGGAAAACAGGCCTTTCTTGGGTATGTCATCGTTGGCGAGTAGTTTGGTTTTCATTTGTTTTTGTCTGCCAGTTTGCAAGTTCTAGACCTTCGCAGGGCCCCGTTAGGGGTTCGGGAGAAAGCCCCGTTGAGGGTGCAGACGAGGCTGAGTGGGTGGCTCCCGCCCTGTCAGGACTCGGGTGACACCGCTGGGCCTCACGGCAGAGGCTGCCGGGCGGGGCTGAGTTTAGCCGCCGAATACTTACTTGGTCCTTGATCAGGCTGAGAAGCTGGTTCGAAGCTTTGCCGGGGAGCTTGGCACGCTCACCGCTCCCGTGTCCCCAGGGCCCGAGCAGGAGGACCAGCTGCTCTGGCGTCCCGGCGCGGTCCTGGAGAGCAGAGTGACGGAGTACCTCGTGGAGGCTGCGCTGCGGACCGGGGGCGAGAAGGCGGCCGCCCGGGGCGCGGCAGGCGCAGCCACGCGGGACAACGAGCAGGTGGGTCTGCCGAGCACACGGCTCCCGGCGTCTAGTTCCCTTCGCTGTTTCACGTTATTTTTACTTTTGGATAATTCTTTCTCTGGTAGGTTTTTAAAACTTGGAAAATGCCGGTTTATAAAAAGACTCGAGATGCACATTGTGTCTTTTCTTCCGGTCTCTCCTCTTCCGTACGCGTCCTGCTATAGGTACTATCCGTGCTCTTCGGTCACTGAATCTCGCCTTTCTGTGCCGTTGAGAATCCTTAACACGCCGTTCCTGACGGCCGTGTGTCCCATTCCGTGTCCCATTCTTCAGACCTTCCCTCTGGGACTTTCAGGTTTTTGGTAAAGGTCTCTCTGGGTTACTCTTGAACTCCCCTCTCCTGGTGGTGTGGTGTGGGGGCAGGGTGTTGTCTGCGAAGGACTTTCCAAACAGCCCCTGTCTCGCCCCCTGACATCTTCGTGTCCCTCCTGCCCCTGGGCTCGGGTGTTGCCAGCCTGGGTGAGTCTGACCAATGGGGACGCGGACACACGTGGAGAGGTCTCGCTGCTGACCCGACAGGGGCGCCACGGGCTGTCAGTGGGGTCCCGCGGCTCAGTGCTGGTGCTTCCCGACCGCCACGCGGCAGCTTTGGAAGAGCCAGCGCCTCCAGTGCAAGCCCTTGCCCACCGGGGGCACGGTCTCCGGCTTCCGTTTGCCTGCCGCGGTGTCCCCGCTGAATGCGGTGCGTGCCTGGTGGATGTAGTGCCTCAGTGCCCCTCCCGTGTGCACGTGTGCCTGGCGCTGTCCCAGACGGGGTCTCTGTCACCACGTGATTGGATGTCGTGGGTCCAGAGGGTGTTGGTGTCCCGCGCTTTTTCTCCAGCTGCTGGTGTCCTGCAGACTGAATGTCCCGGCACGTGTGTTCCCGGAGGCACCGAAGTCGAAGGGCGTTTCAGCCTGTAGCTGTCAGGACTTTCAGATACACCTGGCTGCTTGGCTGGTTGTCTTTTAATGCTGTTAAGTATGAACTGGTAGTTATTTTTATTGACTGGTTTCTTTCTCTCTCTCTCAGGCATTGTATGAACTTCTCAAGTGTAACCACAACGTCAAGGAAGCCATTGAGAGGTACTGCAGCGACGGAAAGGCGTCTCAAGGTGAGGAGCCCCCGGACGGGGTCAGACCGAGCAAGCGCGGTGGCGGGCAGAGCGCCCTGCAGCACTTCCGCGAGGCCTTGTCCGTCTGCGGGGCGCCTGACCTCTGCTTCTCCCTGGCCCTCTGTTTTTAGACAGACCAGAGGTTGTGCCAATAGAGTTAGCCCCTGTCACCTCCGCTTTCTGGAAGAACTAGTTACAGAGCAGAGCAGACCCCAAGGATGGCAGGAAACCCAAAGTAATTAAAAAGAACACTTTATGATATCACTGGGAAAAAAGGTGTTCTCTTTTTTGGGGGGAGGGCGATGGACAGGAAATAGAAGAAGAATAAAGATTTAAAAAAGAAACGTGGTTAGTATGTGCCATTGAGTTTATTGCAAGAAGTGTATTTTTAGTGATTACGTGACATTTTTCCAGGGCTTAGGTTTTGTGTGTGTCGAGGAAAGGGGTTCACTGTAACCTCCGTGTTTCCGTCACCTCGGAGACGGTCGCACGTCCCTGGTCTTCGTTACTGTTGCCGAGTGAGGTGGGACTTGGTAACGTTCCAGGACCGGCTGGACACACACGGAAGGTGAAGGCAGGGAACTGCAGCCGCGGGTCGAGACAGTCTGTTGAAGCATCTCCTTGTAAAAGTTGCTTCTTTGAGAAGACATTATTTTAAGCTCTTCCAACTGTCAAAAACTAAGCTACTGGTTTCCTTCCCAGTTCAGCCTGCTCTTCCCTGTCTCTTGGGCTCCCGTGCACGGCCTTGGGGGCTGCCCCCGCATCCCTAAGTGTGCACCGCCCGGCCCCTCTCTGCCTCCAGAGCAGGGGCTGGGCTCCCGAGGGCGCAAGCCCTTTCCACGTCCCTCACCTCCTCAGAGCACAGCCCTCGGGGCCCTGGCTGCAGGGAGCACATGCTGGTGGCTGTGGTCTCTGTTTAAAGACTCACAGTTCTGATGTGAGGTCAAAATAAAGCTGCTTTTTTTGAGTAAAAATCCTGTTGCTTTAATTTAAAAAAAAAGTATATATATAATGTATGCATATAGTATTAAAAAAACCCAGAACAGCAATGAGCATAAATTGCAGAAAAACATTAAATTTTTTCCCACCGTGCAGTAGAAAACGCCCCAGTGTCTGTATTTTGGTATTGTAGGCTCTTTGGTAAGATTTATAGTGTTTGTCCTTTCGGTGATTCTAACAGAAACCTCCAATACATAGAACGTGTGTGTGTGCATGTGCGTGTGTGCGCGAGAGAGAGTGTTCATGGCCTTTTACATGGCAGACACACCGAACGTAAATCGCCGCTTTGTGCAGAAGTGTTTGAGGCCAGTGAATTCTGTTCTGAACCCCCCTAGACGGGATGACCGCGTGGACGGAAGAAGAATGCCGCAGCTTCGAGCACGCGCTCATGCTCTTCGGGAAGGACTTCTATCTGATACAGAAGAACAAGGTGAGGCAGGCGGGTCAGGTCAGAGCGTGCTCAGTGGGCACCTGGGCAGGGGAACGGCAGCGGCGCCCGAACCCTCCCTGCCGGGAGCGTGTCCACCCCGCAGCCGCCCTCGGTGGCCCGCTCTGCACACGACGCGGGCTTGCTGGGGCCTCTTCCGCCAGTTTCCTTGGCTTTCGTTTCTTTCCGAACTGTGTGGCCTCAGAAATGCCTTTCTTCTGCAAGAAGTGCAGTTGCTGCAGACACGTCGGTTCCAGTGACACGGGGTGTCGGCGGGGGGGCAGGAGCCTTGCTGCCAGGGGGCTGCAGGGGACTGCACTCTGTGGGGTCGGCCCTGAGGAGGTGACAACTTAGGGCCACCCAGAACCTTTTACACAGACGTTCAGTCATAATCGGTCGAACTGGGAAGCAGTGAAGAGGCCCTTTGAGTTGAGCCGATGACTGGCCTGTCCACACGATGGACTGTTGCGCTGCTCTGAACAGAGGCCAGCTGTCCAGCCACAGAAGGCCAGGGAGGGCCCTTGAATGCGTCTTGTGCACCTGCAGTGTCCTTGTGGCCCCGGTCACCGTGCAGAACGGGAAATGGTCACAAGGGCGCTGGTTCCCAGCGTGAGTGGGAGGGAGCGGGGGCCCCGCGGAGCTGGAGTGTTCCAGGTGGGTGGGTGGGTGGGCGTCCCTCAGCCCCCGTCCACACCCACAGGATTCCCAGTGCAGGGACCCCCACACAGATGAGGGGTCCGGGGCCTCGCAGGAGGGCCTCTGGCTGGGGGGGGGGGGCTCGCTGAGCTTTCTGCTCGCTTCCGTTGTGAGCCTGGAACCCCTCTGCCTGCACTTTGTTTAAAAAGCGCGTGTTTGTGTTCTGTTGGTTTGGAAGCGTTAGGTGTTCTCGGAGTTGGTCATCGCCAGCCCCGGGAAACCACAGGTCTTTGGTGCTTCGGTGGGGCCGGACGGTGCGATTCCTTTTCAGACCGGCTCTTCTCCCTTGGCGGTGCGTTCGCGAGGCCTCTGCGTGTCCTCGGGGGGGTTTGACTGCTCGTCTCCTCTCTCCTGCTTCTTTTCATCCCACCTGTGGGGGTGCAGGCTTGTCGGTCCGATCACCCCCTAGGGCGTTGCGGTACCTCCCAGGAAGGGCAGCGCTGTGGTCGTGGTGGTCGTGATGCCGGCTCGCAGGCAGGGAAGCCGCTGGCTTGGTCCTGCCAGCGTTTGGGGTCCTGGCTCCAGGTCGCAGCTGCCCCAGCGGGTGTGCGGCCGTGTCTCCGTGGTTTGATTGGCGCTTCCTTGACGACAGGGCATGGATGCCTGCACCCCTGCTGCCTGATGCCATCTTCAGCCCACTTTTCAGTTAGATGGGGTTTCTGTCCTTACTGTTGAGTTTCAGGGTTTCTCTGCGTGTTCTGCATAACAAAACGCTGCATCAGACACACGTTTCGGAAGAACGGGGGTCCGGCAGGAGCAGGGCCTGCTCCAGCAGTGACACGGGTGTCAGAGTTTATAGCTTTAGTGTGAACGTGTTGGCTAAGATGTCACACAGTGTGCTTGAGTGGGTGCTGTTGTGTTACAGAATGACACACTTACGGATTTTGTAGTAAAAAGATTTTGTTCTTGGTTGGTGTGGCTCAGTGGGTTGAGCGCCGGCCAGCAAACCAAAGGATCGAGGTTCGATTCCCTGTCGGGGCACATGTCTGGGCTGCGGAACAGGTTCCCAGCAGGGGGTACACAATAGGCAACCACACACTGATGTTTCTCTTCCTCTCTTTCTCCTTCCCTTCCCCCTCTCTAAAAATAAATAAGTAAAATCATAAAAAGATTTGTCATAAAAAAGGCGTTAATCTGCGCCAGACCCTGTGTTTTCTCCCAGTCCGTGGCTCGTCTTTTCCTTCTTTCAACGGTGCCTTTTGGAAGCAGAAGGTTTTAGTTTCCGCTGAGTCCGACTGACTGCCCTCCCTCCCAGTGTTACGTCTGCACAGCCTTAGGGCCGTCAGTTGTTCTCCCCGCGCTGTCTCCTGAGCCGGCCGCAGTCTGCCTCCGGCAGCCCGTCCGTCCTGCCCCGGCCGTCTGTCCGTCCTGCCCCGGCCGTCTGTCCTGCGTCCCTCTCCCTGGAGGATGGCAGGTCTGTGCCCCACTCTCTTTTTCTTTTGCTCGTGGGCGTCCAGCCATTCAGCACCATCTGTGGAAAGACTGCCTCCCTCCACCGCTTTCCGGGTCTCGAGTGTCAGCCGCTGTGCGTGTGTGGGCCTCCTCGGGCTGTCGGCTGTGTCCCGTTGACCTGGTGCACGCCCGCCTCTCCCCAGCACCACCGCCCGGTCCCTGCAGCTTCGTCCCCGAAAGTCGGGGGCGTGCGTCCTCCGGCTGTGCCCCCCTCCCATGCTGTGTTGGGAATCACAGGTGGGTTTTGTTTGGTTCCCACGTAAACTTAAAAACTAGTTCATCGGCATTTAATAAATGATTTGCTGGGTTTTGCTCAGGATTGCGCTGAGTCTGCCAATGAAGCTCAGAAGAACTGACGTTCTAACGGTAATGCATGTTCCCATCCGTGAAACTGCTCCCTGCATCTGTGCAGGTCTTTGGTGTCTTCAGTCCGAGCGGGAGGTCTGGCTCACGTAGACCACACGTGATGTCACGTGTTCCGTCAGACTCGCACCCGTGCTCCGGCTCCGTGGCGCAGACACGGAGGGCACCGCAGTTTCCGTCTCAGACGCGGGCCGTTTGTGTTGGCGCTCGGGGAGCAGCCTCGTGTGCGGTGGCCCGGCCACAGCCCTTCCCTCTGCCACGTGTTTGCAGGCGGCTCTGGGCTGTCCGTGCCGTCCGCACGCCTGTGAACAGGGGCCGTTTCTGGTCTTTGTCTCTGTGTGTTTTTTAAATTTTTCTTACTGCATTCGCTGGACTTTCCAATGTGATGTCAAATAGTGTCACGTTTTTTGTATGAAAACTTAATGTTTTCTCAACGATGCAATGACACATTTAATTTAGTGAATACGTAAGAGATTTTAAAGGAGTCTGGGTTGCCCCCAAAGACCAGTTTTGCAGTGACTTACGAAGTTTATCTATTTCATGAATAATTAAGTCCTGTTGCTTACTAGGCACAGTTTTAAGCACTTAGCAATGTATTTGTGAGTGAGACAGGGAAGGCCTCGTCCTCGAGAAGCCTGTGTTCTCGGCAAAGACTCACAGTTCCTGATGCTTGTTGGAAGCTGCGCTCTGTCTTTCGGTGTAAGAGGCTCACCCTGTACCACCCCTGCTGTCGCGTCCCACCCCCGTCAGGGCGGAGGTGCCCGGCCCCCATCCGGCGAGACAGTGGAGGAAGTGGCTGTGGGACAGCAGCACGGCCCCCCTGGGGCTGAGCGGAGGCGGACTCTGTGCGGCCGGGATGCCGCAGCTCCCATGTCGTCACTGTCGTTCTCTCCGCAGTCTGCGGGTGGGGGAGCCGGCTTCCAGGGGCAGTAGGGCGCTGACCCCCTTTCCCAGGGGATCCCAGGTCTCATTCGGATCAGCAGCCCGTCTTCCCAGGAAGGGGTGCCTGCGTCTCTGAGTAGTAGGTAGCTTCTGGTGGAGCCCGTCTGGGATGGAGCCCTCGTCCCTCAGTGTTAGGAAGGGCCTGCCGCGGTCAGGGTCCCCGGGAGAGGTCGGGGGGCAGGCGGCGGTGCGAGTGTTTTGGGGTTCTCCATAAAGGTGTGAGATAACGTCTAGATACACATTTATGTCATAAACACATACATCATGGCTTAAATAAACGTAGGGCTTTTGAAAGTAATTTCCTAAAATGTTCAGAATTTCATAATTCTGAAAATGGCCCATGGATTGAAGTTACAGTGGTGTAAACAAAAGTCAGTCATAAAAAACACACAGGGTCTGCTTTTAAAAGCCCCGCTTGCTCCGCCAGGTGAAGACGCGGACGGTGGCCGAGTGCGTGGCGTTCTACTACATGTGGAAGAAGTCCGAGCGCTACGACTACTTCGCGCAGCAGACCAGGTTTGGGAAGAAGCGCTATAACCACCACCCTGGTGTCACGTAAGTGCCGCGGGCCGGCCCCCGGGGCTCCACGCTTCCGCCGGGTGCATGTGCGGCCCCACAGTCACGGGTGTGTCTCCAGGGACTACATGGATCGCTTGGTGGACGAGACGGAAGCTCTGGGCGGGGCGGTCAACTCTCCGGATTTAACCTCCAGCCGGGCTGAGCCGGCGCCCGAGCCGCCACTGAACATCCTCAGCTCCTTCACCGCCGGGGACCTGACAGGTAAGGCAGGGCCCTCGGTGGCCAGGTGAGGCCCCACTGCCACAGGGGGGGCCGAGGGCTCAGAGCACTTTCCTCTCCCCTCCAGCTCTGGCGGGGGGTGCTGCACCCGGCTGCGGCCCTGCGGACGGGAACTGCCTGGACGACGGCTTCCCGGCGCTGGGCAGTGCGCCCCGTGCACAGGCAAGCCACGTGCCGGTGGGCACCGAGGAGCTGCTCGCCCTGCCCAGCAGCGGGGAGGGCGACTGCTTTAACTTATTCGAGACCGGCTTTTACCCCTCGGAGCTCAACCCCATGCACCTGTGTGGCGAGGAGTCAGAAAGGCCTGCCAAGAGGCTGAAAGTGGGCATCGCCGTCCCCGACCCTTTTATGAGTGAGGTCTCCGTCAGTAACTTGGGTGTGGACTTCGAAAACCACACGCACCGCATCGCCAGCGCCAAAATGGCCGTGTCCGTGGCCGACTTCGGCAGCCTGGCCGCTGGAGAGACCCACGGCTTCATCAGCACCCACGCCCTGCACCAGCACGCTGCCCTGCACTCCGAGTGAGCGGCCGCGGCGCCGGGCTCGAGGACAGGTCAGGGGTGCTTAGTCTTTCACTGGAAGTGCGACCGCCTTCACTATGACATCAGTGATGTCAGTATGTATCAGAACTATGTCTTGATTTATCAAGAGTATTTCCCTGTTTCAGTCCGTGAATGTGGGACGAACTGTGATGGGCAGAGTCGGGAGGGGACTGAACTCTGCGGTGCAGCTCCCAGCACCTCCCCCCACCCCTTCTCCTCCCGCCCCCCCCCCTCCCCGAGGTGAGACCTGCAGACAGGCCACCAGCCCAAAACCAGCACCGGAGTCCGCGCGAGCGGAGCGGCTCCTCTGCGCCTCAGCCCCTTTGCCGCGGCGGATGCCGTGGGGTCACAGTGTTTACAGGGACTGGTCCCGAGCCCTGCTAAATGTAGCATTTTTTGGTTTTCTTAACTCAAAGCAGGGGTAGGTTTCTTTAACTGCACAAACATGCAAGGATTTTTTTACACGGAAACTTCTCTCATGTTACTCGACTGGAGCACTTCGGTTTACAAGCAGCGCGGCCCCTCAGGACACGCCGGACCCGGGTCGGAGCCTCCACGGGGCTGCCTTCCCCGGGGCTGCTCGCCGCTGCCGGGAGGTTTTTACGTAACTCCGTCTATTGGCTGCAGACTTGGCGTTGGGAGGTGTGGTATCCAGGTGGGGTTTTGTCCACCATTGTCCAGACTGTAACTGTGAAAGTCGTACTGGCCATCGTAGTTCAGTCCCCCGGGGGCAGTCGGCCGCGGGGCCCCACCAGCCCCGCTGGGGCAGGCCTGGCTCGCGGTTCACAGGCTGTTGGCTAGGACACCTCTGCCGTGTCGGAGGGACTTCTGGGTCTCACCTGTGACGTAGGAGAGCCTCGAAGTATGTCCAGGCGTCTTGTTTGGCTGGGACAGTCGACGAGAAAAGTGTGAGTTGCTCTCTGAAGTGGTTGCGTCTGCAGCTCCTGTTACTCATGCTACGACCACTGGAGTGCGAGCGAGCCGCCTCCCTGCCCCGTAGACGCGAGTCTTCCTGTCGCGAGGCAGAGTCGGGCCACGCGTGATGCAGTGTTAGGACGCAGTAAGCTTTGCTTTTATGTTTCACTTAAAACAGAATTTTCCTGTTTTAAAATTTTCGCCACTTTAATTAAAGTTCTCGGTTTCTACTGGTTGTTTTGCTTTCCAGACAGCTCCGGTGCCCGGCTGCACCACCGGTCTCTGTCGGTGGCTGTGGCGTCCCGGCCATGTGTCAGGCAGGAGCCTATGGCGGCGGCGGGTGTGTGTTCCAGACTGAACCGCCGCACCGCCCTCCCTGGGGGGGTGTGTGCGCTCGCTGCTCTTTGCAGCGTCTCAGCGAAGGTGGGTCTGCAGTTCACACGCAGCACAGCACGCTCACCGTCAAACGCAGTTCAGCGCAGTGGACGCCGCAGGCGGAGGAGGGACCCGGCGTCAGTCCTGCTGGTGCCCCGGAGCCAGCATTCCCGCCCGTGCACGCCGCACACTGCCTGCAGAGGGCGCCAGCTGGCCGTCTGCGCCACGGGGCTGTGGGCTGTGCGCTGTGCGGGACGTGGGCCAATCAGTGCGACTTCTGTAATTCAGTAAGATACTGGCCACAGCCCCCGCTGTCACACCTTTAATTTTCTCTCTGCGTTTACAGTGGCTGCTCTGTGTGAAGTGACGCCCACAGGGCGCAGGTCCCGTCCCTCCCGGGCGCCTTCGCTCTGGAGCTGCCCCCAGACGGCTTCGGTCCGTCTGCATCGCTGGCGTCTCGGTACAGGATGGAAACGGTGTTTCTTATATAAAGTTTTGATTGTCAGCAAGTTGAATGGACACTTTAGTTATTATTTGAATAAAGGTTTTTGACCAAATCCAGAAATTGATATGAGAGAAAAATAAATTCCAGCTACTTTCGTAGATGTTTAAATGCCAGTCTGGTCAGCCTCTTAGAGAGGGCTGGCTGGCTGGCTGGTGACGTTTACTTTTAATTCCTTGTTAAAATAAGGCAATAATTTGCAAGATTTTTGTATATATGTGTAAATTCTCCCTATCTTTTTAGATCTGACTCACTATTTTCTGACTGTTCTGCCACATACGCGGCCATCTCTGTGTGTTGCTGGGACGTACGCAGACTGCCGCTGCGACTCCACCGTGTAAAGTAGCTATTTATTGAGTTGCCTTTTGAAAGTTGGGTTTGCCGTTTTTCCGCCTCTCCATTTAAGTATCGTAATGCAGAATTTGTTACTGTTTATTAGAAGAATTGCGTTTGAGAGCACGAAAATAGCCAATTTGCAGTCGTATGAAGAAATGATAATGCCTTTGTTATCAAGTATTAAGCACAATTCTTATAACAAACTGTGATAAATTCTTTTGGGGTTTTGTTTGGTGTTTTTTGTTTTTCTTTTTTGTGTTGTTTTGCTGCATCATCTTCACATGAACAAACCAAAAATCCACAATGAGCAGTTGCAGTGTCGGCCGGCGCGTTTTCGACGCCCAGAGCCTCGGAGGGGCTGCAGGCGTGGCCGCTGCCGGGACCACAGCCGGGCTCCGGCCACTCTGCGGGCAGCAGCGTCTCCACGTGGGCTTCCTCCGCGTCCGGGTTTCCTCTGGTCACAGTCAGCTGCTGGGTTTACTTGAAGGATGTACAGTACTCTTTAAACAATACTAAAGTGTATACAATTAGGTCAAAGCATTGTGCAATTGTTTCCTTTTAATTTGTAAAATCAAGGGGCATAAATACTCGAGAACATCGGCTCTGATGGAGCGTGGTGATTCTGTTAATTTAACCAAAGCCTCTAGTGAGTCTTTCAACTTTGAATGTAAACTAATGAAGAAACCTGACCACCAAGGAGATTGTTTGCCCAGAGTTTCAAAGCACATTGTCTACAAGTGGGAATCGAAGTAATTTATAAGAATATTGACATGACTATGTTTTTTAAAAAGTTCTTAATTTTTTCACTAAAAGGAGGAAACTGTTAGTTTTATTGTTAAATATGGTAGATACTAAAATTCTTCTTAGATAAAAGCAGTGATTTCAATGGTCCCAGTTTGAAATATGCACCCTGTGAGTATGAGATTAATTAGTGACAATCAGAACGAGTTTTAGTATCAGAGGTTCAAGAGGAGCTGCTCTTGCTGCATTGGTTTTAATATTTGTACATAAGCACCGATTTTTTTGAGCATTACTTTGTATTTGTTGTACTTTAATACGTGTACAGCGCCAGAAATAAAAACCTGGGGATCTTTCTGTTCTTGGTTTGTGTGACTGTTTGGCACGGATTCTGATCTTATGACTTGTAAGCCGTGACACGTGGGCGGACTGCTTTAGGAAAGAAGGTGCCTGATTGGTAAGTAATCAAGTTTGAAGGTGTTTCCTGTAAATTGATTGTGAAGCTCTGTTTACGATGATGCTGTAGGTGCCCCAGAGTGAGGACCACGCTGTCGGTTTAATTCAGGAAGCACTTGGCAGACGTCTTGTGTTTCCCACACGATTGCAGGTGACCATGTCTTTTAGGAAAATGTCCAGAATCTGATCACCTTATTATCTGACAATGTGTTTGTGATAAATTAGTCTTCTTTATAATATTCACAGTTCAGCAGACTCTGGAAATACCTTCCCTAAGTCTTTGTCTTTCAGACTGAAGTTCTCTGACCTCCCGAGTCTGTGCCTGCAGCTCACATGCTTGGCCCGGAGCTTCCCCGGCAGCTGGCACTTGGTGTGGTCTGGGCGGAGCACACGGAACGTTCAGATTCTGTGTCAGACTGAGCGGGGGAGGGGGACACGAGACCCGACTCCTCCGCCTTCGCTCCTTGTCCGGAACCACGTTCCTCCCCGTGCAGACACCCAGGAGCGGGTGCCTCCTGCAGGGTGGGGTGGGGCTGCGGGTCTGCAGGCGGCCGGGTGCTGTGAGAGGCGTGCGGCTCAGGCTTTCCCAGGAGCAGCAGAGTGACTGGTGGCGCCTGCCGGCAGGGTGTTCTCACTGCACACACGTTTGATTAAACTGGCCCCTGGGGCCGGGCACGGTGCACACTCACCGTCCAGGCAAGTGCCCCGGAGCCTCCCCCGTCTCTGTGTCTGTCGGGGTCCTCGGGGCACTGAGTTCAGGGTCCGAGGCAGCAGTGCGTGCGTTTTCCTGGGGGGCACTCGCCAACACTGGGGAGGCGCAGCCGGGCGGTGCTGCTGGGTCTCGGGGCCCAGACGGGGAGAAGCCGAGACGGCCTCCGGGTTATTCCCCACTGGAGGGTTCACCAGCGTTTCACGAGCATGTTGGCAGCGAGAGTGGCCGTTTATAATCTAAAACATTGTTTTAGTGAGAAAAAAATGTGGTTCTGCTTTTAAAAGAAGTTTTTTAATCTTCACCCGAGGTTATGCTTACTGATTCTAGGGAAAAGAAGGCAGAAAAACACTGATGTGAGAGCGAAGCCGCACTCGGGTGCCTGTCGTGTGTGCCCCAGTGGGGGACCGAGCCCGTGATTTTTTGGTTTACGGGGCGACGCTGCACCCACATGAACCACCCGGCCAGGGCGAAGGGTCCGCCTTTTTTAAATGCCTGCAGCGCCACGCGCTCAGTGCAGTCGGTGCCCTGGGTGAGCTTTTCACGCCCTGTGAGCGTCTTCCAAGTGGGGTCTGCGTTTCAGTCCTGGACTCACCCAGCGCCTCTCGCGGGGCAGGGAGGTCTTCAGTAAGTGTTCAAGGACATGGTGTCACGCTGAACAGAGTGGTATAAAGAATCCAGGAAGAAAAGTAACATTTACCACGTTTGACCTCTGTAATAGGCATGTTTTTCTGGACTACTGCTGAAGCCGTTGACGTTGTAACACTTCACTCTCGGCCCGCACGCTCAGCGTGCCCACGGGCGCCGGTGTCCGGGCTCTTGCCCAGATCTGGGCACCAGGCTCGGCTCCACAAGGGTCGGGCTTTTTCACGGGCTGGGTCCCCCTGGTGTCACAGGGCCGGGGTGACACATGAGTCTGAGAAGAGTCATGAAGGCATCTCGTGGCTGTGTCTGCACATGTAAATGCCCCCGGGGGAAAGAAGAAAGTGGAACAGGGACGCTCCGGGTGGGTGGCAGCTAGGGACTGAAGTCTCAGTAGGGGCGGTAGGTGAGGTGACGTGGAGATGAGCTCCGTGGCGACGGGGGAGATCGGCAGGCAAGGGGGCTGTGCGCTTGTCCCGGGGCAGGTGCGGCTGGGTGGGGCACTCTCCCGCACCAGAGGGTGAAGTGGACTCTCCAGCAGGGGGCAAGAGCCGACTCCGTGCCTTTGTGAGAACCCCACCCAGTGACCACCTAGTGACCACCTAGTGACCTGCTCTGGGGGGAGCAGGAGGGTATCGGGACCACCGCAGACAGAGGTGCTGCCGGGGAGTGGGGGGGGGGCGAGCCCCAGGCCATGCGGACTCCACGCCGGGGTGGGAGGGCCCAGGACGGAGCAGCGCCCTCGGCCTCGTCCGAGTTGGGAACGGAGTTGGATGCAGGCACTCGGGCTGATGGAGAGCAAAGCCTATTACTGAGAGAACCCTCTGGGAAAGGTGACCTCAGGGCCAAGGGGGCTCACGCACCCTCCGTCACTGGAGGGCAGGGCTGCAGGCTGCCCCAGGACACGCTGAGTCCACAGAGGAGGACCCGGATGGCCCGGGGGTCCAGCCCCCCCCAGAGATCACCCCAGAAAGTCAGCCCTCCTCTGCAGGTGCAGGGAGGATGCAGGCATCGCCATCGGAGCCTCCCGCAGGGCGAGAAGGGAAAAAGGCTGGGTGTGCCCGCCACCACCGGCACCGCCGGCTTCGCACGACTTCCCCACCCAGCGACCTCCCAGGTGCTGTTGTAAACTCGGTGTGTGTGACATACGTTCAGATGACACAGAGAAGATAGTAAAGTGGCCCCTCCCCCGGTTTCTCCCTCAGCTAAAGCAGTCTTTAAATTTCAGATACACGCCTGCACAGGCAAACTCCAGCTAATTCGCAGCAACGCAAACGAATGTTTGGCCTTATTCTATAAAAATTTTTACAGAAGTTCGTACACATCAACAGTAAAAGAATTGCTGGAGATGTGGCTGAAATGTTATAAAGCACCACAGATAAATGAAACATTGAAATGGTAAGTTCAGGCAGTAGGCTTTAATAAGCTGCTGTGTATTTAGCTGAAAATTAAATAAAATTGGAATTGCACTGGAAATTTGAAATTGTAATGCAGCAAACAGCTTTTATCATGGACTTGAAACAAACAAAATATCGACAAAAATAGCCAGTTCCGGCTCCAATTAGCTGTAACACTGGGCTCTGCAGGTGGGATTCAGAGAGGACCACCTCGGGCGCCGACGCCTCTCCCCTCCCAGAGTCAGCCGACGACCGTGTAGTAGTTGGAAAGGAGCTCCTCCCCTTGTCCGATGTCCCTCAGCGCGACGAGGACCACACACCGCAGGGGGCTGCGAACGAGAACACACGCGTTACCGGGATGGGCACGCACCAGCACGTGTGTTCATTCAGCCACTGCGGGCTTTGTCAATGTCACGCTAGTCACATCCCTCACTGTCCCCTTCGTTTCCGCACATCCACGAGGGAATTGCTCTCGGCCCCGAGAGAGCATTTAAAAGTGGACCGTGTCTGCTCCGTATCACGTGGAAAGACCGCAGCTCAGCGACTGCACACAGCCGACCACGCCCTGTGTTCCGGTCCTCGAGGCCAGAGCTGCAGAAAGCACTGTAAAGCCACACCCGCTATAGTTTAACACTCAAAACTAACTGGCATCTTCGAATTCTGCAGAGCAGGAAACATTGCTTAGAATTAACTGGATGAAGAGGACTTTCTAGGACACGACAAGACGTCCTCGATGCCCCGCTCATTCCATGCCTCCCGGGCCCGTGGGACAGCACTGCCATCGAGCCCCGGAGTCCACGGCTAACAGCCTGGTTGTCAGGTACGCAGACACACACGGGGAACGGTCACCGAGTCTCAGGTGCAGGCAGTGGTCTGTGTTTCAAACGGCCTGGTGTTAAAAGCGCGGTGAACTAGGACCCCTCGCGGTGCAGTCTGCCGGCAAGTGGCAGCCAGGGATGTGGCCCCATGGGGCAGGGCCCCCCCCCACCTGCCCATTAAAAGCCGTTACTTGAGTCTTCCCAGCAACCACACCAAAGATTAATGTGACAAGAGAAATGTCAATCTCGACTACTTCTTTTTTCACTGTTTCCTAAGTTGTATTTTATCCCGTGGTTTAAGTATGTCCGGCATACTCTTGTTTTCTCACCAGTTTCAACGCTCACAGTGGAATGAGCGGAGGCGCCCGTGTGAACCGGGCTCACGTCGGGTGGGGTGGGTGATCCTTGCAGTGACTGGGGCGAGGGTGTTTCTGAAGGACTCGTAAGTAGGAAAGGCGGACATAAAAGTCCAAGTTGCAATTTCCCCCTAAAAGTCCTCACCCTGGATTTTGTATAGCTTCTTTCAGGCAGAGATGTCTGTGAAGTGCACCCCGAGACTGGGGCAGGGCCAGGCTCTGCAAGGAGACAAACCTTTGCTGGTCGCAGCTGTAGGCGACATTCGGGAGGTACTGCTTCAGCTCCACAGGGAAGGCCAGAGGCACGTCCAGCTCCTGGTAACAGACGTTGGCGGGTCTTTCTGGGGACAAGTGCACTGGGTTTAGAAGCCGAGCATGTACTGGGCAAGGGCACGGCAAACAGTGCCGAGTTACGGCGCTGACGCACGGATTTCCCCGTGATCAGAGCATGCTCAGAGTAGGCTTTGCACATAGGAAACATTACATATGTGAGTGAGTGTGTGTGTGTGTGTGTGTATGCTTTCTGAAAAAAGATTTATTTTCAGAGAGAGGGGACGGGAGGGAGAGAAAGAGAGGGAGAGACACATCAACGTGTGGTTGCCTCTCAGAGGACCCCACCCGGGAACCTGGCCACAACCCAGGCAGGTGCCCTGACCAGAAATGAACCAGTGACCCTTTTGGTTCGCAGGCTGGTACTCAATCCACTGAGCCACACCAGACAGGGCTATCCATGCTTTTAAATTCACTTTTTGAAGATCAGGAAACAGGCTCAAAAGGTTAGAGGGCAAGTAGAAAAGTCAGGTGCTTGAGTTCCTGCCTTCCAAACGCCCAAGCCTGTGCCACGCACGACCAGACAGTCGAACTCTCACTCTGGGGGAGCGCAGCCCCAGGAAGGTAAGCGACTCACAGACTGAGCGCCCAGAAGGGGCGGCCAGTCCCGTGGTTCAGCTTCGAGGCCATTCCGAGGTACGGACCACATCATCTCTGAGTTGACCATGAAAGGATGATGCTGGCAGTGATTACGAGGGCAGTGACGCACAGCATATATTCACTGCGGAACCAAACCAGTGAACTACGAAACCGCAGTGGATGCTGTCAGTTTCTCCTGCTTGTCCCTGCTGTTTGCCTCAGAGGGTTACAGTCCAAATCGCTGAGATGCCAACTCTACGTTCTGGCTACGAGGCACCCAGAACAGACAGACCCACAGCAGCAGAAAGCAGATCAGTGGTTGCCGCAGACTGGGAGCTTCCGGAGGAAATGGGAACCGACTTCCATAATATAAAGTGGACTGTGATGATGGTCAAACAACTCTGTGAATTATACACTTCAAATGGGTGAATTGTCTAGTAGGTGAATCATATCAATACAGCTGTAAAAAAAACGAAGTTAGGATCAAGGAACTATAATTTTTAATAGGAGACATAGATAAGAGAGGGAATAGAACGAAAACAAGCCATGGAAGTGACGGGTCCGAAGGCACCCCGTCACACGGCCGTTCTCGGTCGCTCTCCCGGCCCCACGCAGCCAGCTCACCGTTTGAACAGTTGTTGACATACTGCCCTACAGCCAGCGGGTTCTGAACGTCTGCCGTCAGCCAGGTGCTGTCGCTCATTTGTAAAGGGCCGAGGCGGTCCCTTCCAGCGCAAGACCTGAAAACGGGCAGAAGCACCAGCTGGAGGAGTCCGCTTCTGGGCCTTCAAACTCAGCTGTACAGATCAGGCCTGCAGATTTCCAGAAATTGCCTGGAAACGGGCAATTTCTCAAGAAAACTCAGTCTCATCAACAGGACAGCTAAGGCCAGTGGCCACAGTCACCTGTGGTTAAATCTGAACATGGGCATCAACTCACCTGTACACGACTTTGGATATTCCTCTGTTATTTCCATCAATGAGTATGCCATCCAAGCATCTAAAAATAAACGGATTTCCAATAGACTGGAAAAAGACTGGCTCGTATTTCTGATATACTGTACCTATTATAAAACGAGACGGACATTACAGCAACACGTGAAAATCACAAACACTTTAAGGACCTTTCTCTGGAACATACACACAACATGTATGAATTTGTTTTAACTTCTCGGCCTTTTTTCAATCTCTTACCTCCAATCTAGACCATCGCATTGTCTTTGGCTCTTTTCTCCCTTTAAATGTGTCCAAGAGCAGACAGAGCACAGGGCCTACATCCCCACACGGCCAGAGAAATCAACTTGGGTGGCAAAAATGCGAACACGCTTCAGGCTCGGTCCCTCAGAGTTGCGGTGTGTGTGCCAGTGTGTTTGAGTCAAGTGTGACCAGACATCTGTCAGCGTGTCACTCGGGAAATGTCTTCACCGGCAGCCGGTTGAATACTGCAGGCATGTGTGGGAGGAGGGGAGTCTGTGCTCAGCCGTGTCCCCTCTTGTGGGCCGCAGTGGGGGGGGGGGTTGCACATGCCTTTTGGATTCCAGGCACGTTATCTGTGCTGTACACTTTAATATGAATTTGTTGCTGGCTTGTTCTGTTTGGTCTTTACAGAGTTAATTGTACAGGAAGAAATTGAGACGCCCTTGCTTAGGGATGAGAACTAGAAAATCTTGAAAGGACTTTTTGAAAACATAGCTGTATTTGACTTAAACATACACATATATTTTCCATTATACCAAATAATATGTTAGTTTAACAAATGACATATTTGACCGAGCATTCTAGTTAATGATTTTGTGCAAAGAAGCTTCTTTACTTTCTAAGTATAGCAATGGCAGGAATGTCTTTATTTGGTGACTTACAGGATTAAATTCTCTCCTGTTTTAACCCATATCATTTTTAGCTTTGGTTATCAATTATCTAAGTCAAAGTGATATCCCAACAAATACTTATGGATACTTTCTCACACATAAGATAATCTACAAACAGTTAATGTCCAAATCAGGATTTAAACATCTGTGGACATCTGAGTTTGCAGTTCAACCCCTTGCTCTGCCATCCCAAGGCCAGGTGTTTTGTTTTTGTTCTTTGAACTTATATTTATATAACAAACTCTCGGCAAAGTACTACTTGGGCCATTACCAGGGTACATGGATACAACTGCGCCTTTTGGTGCTGATCCTCTAGAAACGAAGACGCCTCTTCCGGCAGAGACCAATGAGCTAGTTGCGCAGGCAACGCTGAAACCCAGCGTCTGATACAGGATTTCTTCTGGTTTAACAGTACGTCCCCGATGATGTCTGTATTCAGGCAGGCTCACCCTTGGAGGCTGGGCTAACAGCAGGTCTTGATACTTCGACTGCACGGGCTCGGGCAGCACAGTCAAGGTAGCTGACTGCTTATAGAAATCGTGGATGAACAGAGCCTGGAAAACCCTCAGTAACGTGACTAGGACGTCTTCGTCTGAGATAACTTTGTCTTTAAGTTCCACTGGAACATACCGGAGGGTCCTGAAAATGGGAAAGGTTTCCACTCACTCCCCTTCAGTGATAAAAGCCAGCCTGTCTGGATGCCTTCTGGGCCTTCAGGAATATTACTTTCACGTGTTTGAAGGGTGGGAAACTTTCAGAGAAGAGATGTCTGGGGGCTGCGTTACTAACTTCCAATAAATACCCACCCAAGTTTAAAACGGCCAAATTTATGGAAAGGCCCGGCGTGTGCCAAACGCGGTCGGGGCCTTATGTTCCTTATCTCCTTTTTTCCAGACCAAGAAACCGAAGCACGGAGATGTTAGACACTTGCCCCAGGTCCTAACGTTAGTGAGGGGCGAGGTGGGGGACGAGGGAGCGGGGCAGAGGCAGCGCTCACGGCCACCTGCGAAGGTGGCCACCGGCGAAGGTTGTCGTGAGAACCGGCACATGCAGTGAGCTCTTTCTAGGCCTGTAGTTTCAAACACAGATTTAAGGGAACGTTATACAACTCGTCACATTCTCTTCCAGGAGTACTTCCTTAATGAGTGCATCAGTTCATTTCCATAATAGTAGGATGTTTACTTCTGCACAAAAAGAAAGCTAACGGCCCGTCCGAACACTCTGGTTATCGGCTGCTTTCGTGGACATGCCGTGGCGTTGCCCGCCCCCAGCTCGTCCCTCGCCGGAGCCGGCCCCGCCCGGCCCCAGGCCCCGACTCCGCGCTCTAAACCCCGCACTCCTCCGCTTCACTGTCCTTTCTCTCTCTCCCCAAGCTGTTTCTCGCCGCGCCGGGCTGGGCGGCTTTCACCGTCAAGACTAAACCCGCTCGGCTTTTCTAAGGGGTTCCAAGCTCCTTGCCCGCGCTCTCGCTGCCCGCGCTCTCTCCTTTCTCAAACGTTGCTCTATTTCACTCAGACAGGCAGCCTGCCAGCGCGGACGGCCAAGTGGACCACACGCGCTGTCCCCGCGGGCGACCCCGAGGACTCTGGCCTGTCAGCGCAGGGTACGACGGGAAAAAGGCCCCAGGCCCCGCCCACCTAAAGATCCGACCCAGGGGTCGGGCCCCCGGCCCGCCCCCGACACGCCCCCGACACCCGCAGCCTCAGCCGCGGCCCCGCCCACCACCAGCCCCACCCACCACCAGCCCCACCCACAGCGAGCTGGGGGCGCCAGGCCCTTCGGCCGCCGGAAGGCCCCGCCCACTTAAGTCTAGGCCCGCCTTTGGCCACGCCCACCCCAGACCCCCTCCCGTCTCGGGCTCCACCCACCACCGCCCAGCGGCGCCAAGCCCCTCGGCCGCCGGAAGCTCCGCCCGCGCGAGGCTCCAACCCCACGGTGGGCCCGCCTGTGTCCTGTCCCGCGACCGCGGTGGCGTTTCCGGGCCGAAGGAAGAAGCCCGGAGCAGCCGCCTCGTCTCCTCACCTGGGGTTGCGGCTTAGGTTCAGCGCGATCCAAGGTACGAATCGGTACTTGTAACGGCGCCACCAATGCCCCAGGCTCTGCAGCAGAGTGCGGGTCATGGCGGCCCAGCCGCGCCGGGACGACGGCCCGCCCCGGCGGGGGGAGGGGCGGTGGCGTGTCCCGCCCTCGGCTCCGCGCTACACTCGCGCGGGGTCCCGGTGGCTGGCCTTGTGGCCACGGCCACCTCACCAGGGACGCGGAGCGGAAGGAGCCCGAGCCCAGTTCCCGCTCGTGTGGCCTCCCCACCCACCCACCTCTCGGCCCCGTGGGAACCGCGGACCCGCCTGGCCTCCGCGCGGAGTCGGCCCCGGCACCCAAGTCCAGGGGGGCCAGCCACACCCGGTGCCCTGCAGGCAGGGCAGGTGGCCGTGGCGCGTGTATTCCGTTCCAAACTGGAAGGAAAACACGCCGCCCAAGTCTCCACTTCATTGTGACGCCACGGAGCGTGCTGGCGCCCCGGGCCCGCAGCATTTGCTGTGAGGGTCCCGGCTGCAGGTTACCCGGTTTCCCGGATGGGGTCCGCAGTGCCCGCGAAAGGAGGGACTGTGGTCTCTGAACCCAAGAGGAACCGGAAGGGCACTAGTTGAAGCCTTAACCATAGTTGTATACTGAACCTAAAAATAAAAAAGCAGCTTTTGTGTGCACAGCCAGTGCTGTTTTGTTTTCTACTTGTATCATGCAGTGTAATCCAGGACAAAGGCCTGTGGCCTAGACCCTATTCCTACATTTTCTGAACTATAATTGACATGTAACATGATGTTTGTTTCAGATATAAAACATTGCATTCAAAATGACTGAGCGAGTAGAGCAACGGGTCTGCATCAAATTTTGCGTTAAGCTTGAACATTCGTCTGCAGAGACTATTCGGATCATTCAGAAGGTTTTCGGGGACGATGCGATGAGTGCAGCGCAAATAAAAGTGTGGCACAAACGCTTCAAAGATGGTCGAGAATCCGTAGAGAGTGACCCACGTTCTGGAAGGCCTGCAACAAGCAGAACCCCTGGGAATGTTGAGCGTGTGCGGGCCGCCATCAGCAAAGGGCGGCGGCCAACAGTGCGAGAACTGGAAGCGGAGCTGGGGATTCCAAAAACTACTGTGTCCCAGATTTTGACACAGGATCTTGGCCTGAAACGTGTCACAGCAAAACTCGTTCCGCAGCTTCTGCTACCAGAGCAGAAGGAACATCGTGCTGCAGTCGCTAATGACTTGATTCGAACCGCTAGCGATGAGCCCGATTTCCTCAGGAAGGTCATAACCAGAGATGAATCCTTGGTCTACAGCTGTGACCCGGAAGCAAAGGCCCAGTCATCTCAATGGAAGTCACCTGGTTCTCCACACTTGAAGAGGGCGAGGCAAGGCCGAAAGATCAAGAGCATGTTAACTGTTTTTTGATTGGAAAAGTGTTGCCCGTCAGGACTACGCCCCTCCAGGCCAAACAGTGAATACAGAGCACCACCTGCACGTTCTTCCTCCGTGGGGAGATGCAGGATGGAAACAGCCACAGCTGTGGGTGACAGCGGGTGGGCAGCTTCACCAGGACAACACGCCCGCTCATGCATCATGTCTGACGCAGAGGTTCTTTGGTCAAACATCAAATCGCACAGGTGACTCAGCCCCTACAGCCCAGATTTGGCGCCCTGTGACTTCTAGCTTTTCCCAAAGCTTAAATGACCTTTGAAAAGGGAGAGATTTGAGACCATCAGTGAGATTCAGGAAAATAAACAGGGCAGCTGGTGGTGATTGGGAGAAACATGTGAGGTCCTAAGGTGCCTACTTTGAAGGGCACTGAGGTGTCATTGTCCTGTGTGGTGTTTCTTGTGTCTTGTGTCTCCTTCAGGAAATGTAAGTCTAGTCATCACACGTAGCTACCCATTTCCTTTTCCTGAGACGAGAATGTTAAAGATTTATTCTCTTTCAGCAACTTTAAAATATGCAGTCCAGCATTATTAACTAGAGAGACTGGGGGAGACCCGTGGGCTGTTTCCAGAATGAAGCCCCAGATCACCGGCGCCAAGCCAGCGCGCAGGTGGAAGGCGGAGAGAAGATCCGGCCCCAGCAGAACGGGCTAAATTCCACGGCTTCTAGGTTTGAAACAGGATAAAGTGTTCCCCCAAATCGCTTCATCGAATTCAGCTCATCAGCCTGCCCCAAGCTACAGCAGCATCGACAGGCAGCTATAAAACAATGGCCGGAGCTACCCCGACTTCTCTTCAGTTTGATCATCAGTTCTAAAGCCAGGCCACCAACAGAGACAAACCCAGCACCTGGCCGGGAAAGTCGCTTCCCGCAGCCCGTAAGTCCTGCACCTTCCCAGACTGCTCTGCTCTGCTGACCCATCCATCCCGGAACATCAGTGTAGCAACGGAGGAGAGGCCTGCTAATCTACTTCCTGATTGGCAAGCCCCAGCAACTCCCAGGTTCCTGAGCCTAACGCCCCTCAGCCCCTCCTTCAGGGCGTGGCCCTGGGACTCAGCATTCCCTCCCTGTGCAGTCTCAGTACGTCGCCTTTACTTTTGTTGTCCCAGGTCCAGATTATTTTGTGTCAGCGGACAAGAACCCAAGCTCTTTGTGACAGTTTCTCAGTGACCTGCGAGGAGACCTGCATCTGTGCAGAGTTTCGGGGAGTGGTGGGCTTGGGGAGGCAAGCTGTGCAGCAGCCCAGAGCTCACCCTGGCCGGAGGCTCAGCTGCTTGGAGCCTGGTCCCAAACACCAAAAAGTCGCAGGTTCAGTCCTTGGTCGGGGTGTGTGTGGGAGGCAACCAATCAATGTTTCTGTCTCTAAAATCATTGTTTTTAAATAAAGGAAACAGCCCTGAGTGGGTCAGCCACCTTGTAGGGAAAGGGGGGGGGATTGCTGAGGGGAAGTGGGGCCCGGTGTCTGTTCCCGGGCTAGAAGAAGGGGCCTCTTCCCGCCCACCTGTGGGAGGAGAGGGCGAGGGGTGGGTGTGAAGGAGCTGGCTGCCGTGTGGACAGGCGATGGGGCCCTGCGTCACCGGAGCCCCCGGTGCTCCTTCATGGGGGCAGTCGGCAGATGGTGTGGAGCTGTGGTGCTCTGTCCAAGAGAAGTTTCTCCGACTGTAAGCGGCTGGGACAGGCTCACTTTGCGTGGGTCGGGGATAGATTAGCAGCCCCTCTTCCATGTTCCCAGAGAGGATTCACGTGTGTGTGTGTGTGCACATGTGTAGGGGAGGGCTGAGTAGGAAGGGGGGCGTTTGAACAGCACATTGTCTAATGTGGGCAAGACAACTGGCAAATCCCCACTCACTGGGAAACGTGTGCAGCTTCAAAAGGTTACAGTCGAGTTGAGGGAACATAATTGAGAAATACTGAGTGTCAGTTACCCCAGAATTTCGGTGCGGAGCTAGGGCATGTGTCGGAGGTCTAGGTGGGAGAGAGGTGGAAGGAGGGGGTAGAGAGCGGAGCCAGCGGTTCTGCCCGGTGCCGGGACCCTGGAGGTCGGAGCTGTTTGCACACTGGAGCCCAGGCGCCCTCTGTCTCGTCTGCTCCCGGTCTCACAAGGTGCGGTGGCCTGCGAGGGAACAGACCGAATACGGAAGCAGAGAGGAGAATCCATCTGTCTTGGAGTAAACCAGAAATAAAGTAGATTTGCAAAAACATAAAAAATGCTACTTTTCTCAGTGTTGGGGAGATTTAGCTGCTTTCTATAAGATACCCCTGCCAACATGTACAAGATTTTTAAATTATTTAATACATTGATAAGCACACATGTAAAAGCAACCTGTTTTACGATGACACAGTAAATGTTGGAGCCGTGACCCACAGAAACACAAGGCCACTGGGGTGCTCAGAGACCATTACAGGTGTCACAGGTCCGGCCACACACCTGCTGAGTGAGGCATGTGTGCCAAAGTGTCTGAGTGGGCGTGGCGGTGTGTGCAGGCTCCACGAATCAGAGTGTTGGAATCAGTGTTGCGTGCCGAGGAGCTTAGACACCAAGCGTTTCAGGTGGTTTTGTGCTGCGGGACGTACCTACGGTGGTGTGTGGCAAGAAGCCAGCAGTGGTGTCTGCTGGCCCCTCTGAAGTGGCCAAGGCCACATCTCCCAGCCATGTGACATCCATATTGTGGAAGACATTTGCGGTGACCATGAAAGTCCAGTGGGACCGTGACGGGAACCAGGCCGTCGGGCTGCGCTGTGCACGGGCCACTGTGGGCCTCGGCCGGGAGTCCCTCTGCTGTCGGCTCCTGGCTGTGGCCTGGACCAAATGGCCAGCGCAGACGTCTGAGAGCTGCTGGCACGGGCAGGGGTGCAGGGGCGAGGCTGAGCGCAGCGGGCCAGAGGACGGGCGGTCCGGTCAGAGTGGACCCTGCGTTAGTGAAGTCGGGTCATTAGGAAATGTGGACATGTGAGGGAAGCTGGAGGTGACAGGTAGTCACTGGACGTTCTTTAGCAGAGTGTGAGCGTGAAGAAACCGCTGGGCAAGCTCAGAAGAACAGTGGCTGGCAGGACGGATGGAGGGTGGGTGGGTGGGCAGGTGGGGGTGGTCTCGCGAGCAGGAGACAGGGAAGAAGGTGTCACCTGTGTGGACGCAGCCTCTCCTTGGCTGTGACTGTCGAAGATGTGTGAATGCACGTGTCATGACTAGGTTTCAGCTGGGGAAAACAGAAGTCGCTGACTGCCCTGAGAGTTTTCACTTCCCCGAGAGGGACAGAGATGCCCACTTTGCTTCTGAGAAGGCAGGAGGTAAAGTCTGCTTTTCCGGTGCTTGGCCAAGGTAACAAACAGGCTGTAGAGACCTGTTACCTTGGTAACAGGAGACTTAATAAAAGAAAGTCTCCCTCTGCTGCCCTCTGCTGGACGTTGTAACGGCCTGCGTCCCTGCCCCAGCGTGGGCAGAGTAGCCTGGGCAGCCCAGAGTCCAGACGCTCACAGCAAGGGAAGCAAAGCAAAAAAAAACAAAACAGAAAAGGAAACCAGGCTACCATGCAAAGAGAAATTAAGCCAAACCAAAATAGATACAAACTTGGAAATACTTTTCCAGCTTTTTACTTTGAAAAATTGTAACCAATAGAAAAATGCCGCAAACCACCATTCTCTTGTATGTAGGTTCACCAACTGTTTCCATTTCCTGTGTGTGTGTGTTTTCTTTCCATTTCTGTGGATGAGAGCCCAGGAGTGCACTTGGGTTGTACGGCAGTCCTGTTTCTAACGTCCGAGGACCCTCCAGACTGGTTCCCACCGTGGAGCCCGAGCCTGCGTTCCCCCATCGGGCACGGGGGTCCCCTTTTTCTGTGTCCTCGCCAGCACTTGTTGTGTGTTGTGTTGTGTTGCCTTTTTGATGACGGCCGTTCTGACAGGTGTGAGGTGGTGTCTACTGGGGTCTTAATCTGCATCTTCCTAATGATTATTGAGTGACATCAAGCATCTTCCCATGTGTTGGGTGGCGATCTGTTTGTAGAAATGCCTGTTCAGGTTTTCTGCCCATTTTTGAATAGGACTGTTTGGGGTCGGGGTTTCTTTTTCTTTTTTTTTTTTTAGTATTTCTTATACATTTTTTCTTTTCACATTTTAAAATTGTAATTGTTGTTCAAGTACAGTTTTCTCTTTTACTCCCATCCCAGCCCACCCCCCAGTCCTCCACGCCGCCCTCCCATTTCCACCCCCTCTAGTTTTTGACCATGCGTACTTTGTACTTGTTCCCGTTCTTACACATATTAGATATTAACCTTTCATCAGTTAGGTCTTCACCCATTCAGTTGGTTGTCTTTTTCATTTTATCGGTGGGTTGTGTTTTGTGTTGTGTATTTGTAGGAGCTTTTTAGTTTGGTGCAGTCCCATTTGGTTACTTTTCCCTTCTGTTGCCCTTTCCTGAGGAGGCAAACCCAGAGGGTGTTGCTAAGACCGGTCTCAGAGGTTTATGCCCAGCAACAAATTGGAGAGTCTAGATGAAATGGATACATTCCTAGAAACGTACAGTCTCCCCACACTGAATCAGGACAAAGAAGGAAATCTGAAGAGACCGATTACAACTAATGAAATTGAAGCAGTAATAAAAAAACTCCTAATATCCCTGGCTGGTGTAGCTCAGTGGATTGAGCACGGGCCTGCGAACCAGACAATCGCGGTTTGATTCCCAGTCAGGGCACGTGCCTGGGTTGCAGGCCAGTTCCCAGGCAAACACAGACAGCGCCCAGAGGGCCACAGGCGTAGGTTCTCTTACTTCTCACAGTGCTGCTGCTTCGTTTGGTGGCTGCGGAGATGGGGTCCTGAGTCACAGGTCACTCGGCCGGCAGTGGCACAGCCAGGTCACACCTCGGGCTCTGGGTCCCCAGTCCGCCATCACCTCTGTTGTGTCAATTCATCACACACGACAACTCAACCAGCCCCCAAATGGTCAGGACGCAGGAAGGTGGTGCTGTTCGGAAGTTCCTGTTGGTCACTGTTTCCCCCGATGATGGCGGTTCTGTGCGTTCCATTTTAGAACCGGCAAATCGCAACGTCCGCTCAAACGCACACGTCGGCATTTTCACGTGAGCGTGATACCTCCCCCATTTTTCTAGATTCCGTGTAAGAAACCTGCATGTTTGTGCATCTTATAAAATTATTAATATCATTTAAGCAGAATCAAGAAACAACAGGATTAGTTTTTCTTAAGCAAAAAGCTTTTCTCCAAGTTAATAGATTCCTAGTGACGGCCATGTACACTTACACAGAAACTTTACACAAAATGGCTTTCAACCCACGGCTACCAAGGGGCATTTCCCACCTTGCAGGGTCAGACGTCACGTTTCTGCTGGAGTCTGACCACGTGAGGGACAAGCGCTGAGCAGAACATGCGGGTGAAAGTGGAAAACAGCGGTCCCGCCGCAGGTCCCGCCTGAGACGGAGCCAGCGGCCCGTGGGCGGGCGGGGGTGGGGCTCCAGGGCGGCAGGTGTCGGGTGGGCCACCGCCGCTGTGCCCCAAGGGTGCTTGACGAGACCGGTGACTGGATATTCGCTCTCCTTCCCACAGGTGTGTCACCAGAGGACAGACTTCATGCTTTTTTTTTTTTTAATTTAGAAGGGAAGGGAAGGAGAGAAATATCAATGTATGGTTGCTTCTGGTGCATCCTCTGCTGGGAACTGGCCCCTGCTGGGAACTGGCCTGCAACCCAGGCATGTGCCCTGACGGGGAATCGAACTGCGATCTTTTGGTTCGTCAGCCCGTGCTCAATCCACTGAGCTACACCAGCCAGGGCGACTTCATGCTTTTTAAAAGCATCCTATTACAGAGCAGAACCCGTTGAATCTGACCTTGGCTGCCAGGGGCCCAGGGCATGTTTATGTGCAAGTAAATGATGGGGATGGTCAGGAGGACGGAGGGTCGGCTCGGGACTGACCGGGGCTGGCAGACAGGACGTGACGAGCGGCAGGGGAGCCCTGGGGGGAGGCCGAGGGAGCTCGTGGTGGTGGTCCTGCAGCCTTTTGTGAGTACGACGCTATTTCAAAATACGTAAAAGTAACCACCTTTGTTCAAAAACTTTTATTTACTATAAAGACAAAACACCAAAATAGGTACAAATACTATAAAATTCGTTCAATGGGGTAAAAATTTTAATTAAAATATCTTGATATATTTAAAATAACAAAGGATACATTTAAGCCAAATTTTCTTAACCCAGAGATTTTTTTTGTAACATTTGCTTACACAGTAAGGTGCTAAGAGGAGTCAGCCCTTAAGCCCTGGAAGTCTTAGGGATCAGACACAGGCAAACGGAGTTCGCTGGGAAAGTGAACTTTGGTAGAAGAGAACTCTAGACACCTGAGGTAGCAGAGACTGGAGTACACAGCAGTACACATGATTCACAACTCGAGTACCAAATAACATTAAGAACGCAAAAATAATTACACAATATAATTTTCAGTCCAGCTTTGATCCAAAGAAAATAAGAATATTACATCACATTTGCATTGAAAATAAAACGAACGAACAAACAAACACCACCGTTAGCAGCCAGCCGAGGGACTGCCGACCACCTGCAGCCCCGGATGCCGACCCCGACCCCCAGCGCCCGGTCTGCATGGCGGCGGGCGCGGAGCCTACCGCTAACACTGACCAGTGAGCTTCCTCCGCCTGCGCGGTTTGCGCCTCCACCCCACCCGGGGCCCACCTGACCGGAGACCTTGCGGGACGTACAATGGCAAGAGTGGATCTGTGAAGCCTGCACAGGAGAGACATGGAAACGACTGCATTAGAGCCGTGAAAATTCTAAGTGTCCAAAAGAGGAGAGAAAAATAAAAAGTCACGTACAACACATTTAGAGCTACCAAACTTCACATTTCAGCGCAACTTTTAACTCTTCAAATATTGCCAATCTTCCAAAAACCAAGGAATGTAAAATTTCACTAAGAAACACATTCACATTTAAAAACTGCCTTTTAAAAATCATATGTGATGCATCCCTGTAAACTCATCTGGTAACTTGTTTTACTTCCAATTTGTGTGGTGCATGTAAAATGCACTCTATATAGCTTATTTAGTTTATCCTGAGTCTTTGAGAACAACCAATTGTTTCATCCTGCAACAATGCAACTGGCTTCTGAAGAGTTAAAACTTAACATCTCAAAAAATTGTATTAAATACTTAATCAGTACTTGATTAAAAGAGTCACAGAACAAACAAACAAAAAACAAGAAAGGACAAAAGAGCCGCCATTTCCCTCCAGGATTCCATGCGTCTGAACTCAGCTGCACGGGGACCGAGGTGTCTGTATGAGGTCCAGGGAATAGGCATGTAAATGAGACTCAATTTCACTTTTCTTTATGACCATTTTCCAAGTTCAAAGCCAACTTTTTGTTGAAAACCTCATTACCCACTGGTGGCTGAGCAATTCGGTTTGTTTTTCTGCCGTGAGCCATCAGCGGCCTCCTGGCCAGACGGAGAACAGCAGCCCCGCACCCCTCAGTGGTGAGGGGCTGTGACGCATGAGACTAACCGCTGTGACACTGCCTACAAGCCAGGCCAGGACATTACAGACGCTGACCGATTTCAAGGTGACCTTGATCTTGGCTGTGAGCTGCACTGAGAGAACAGTTGCTTTTCACTTACATTAAACCTGCATGAGAAGGGCAGTGACAGACTCAATAAAGGTAGTAGAAATCCCAATTTTAAAAACAAGTAAAATTCTGTATTAAAAAACTCTTGCCATAGCAAGATATTCAATAAACGCTAGTTCACACCTAGTTCTATTTTTTTTTCTGGTTTGAAAAGATCACCTTTCCCTGAATATTAAACAAAAATGAAGGTGAAATGAAAATACAGAACCATAATTTCAAACAATGAAATAACTGGGCCAACAGTAAAATGCACAATGAACCACAACTGCTCAGGCTTTTAAAAAAATAAAGGTCAACTGTGGCTCATAAAGAAGTTACAGCTTTAAAAAATGTATTTTTTCACGGCTACTCACAGCATATTCTGACCTAAAAGAGGCAGACACCGATTGGTTTCGCCAGGGACAGGGACAGGAACCGAAGGATGGCAGAGCCCCACTGCGACCACCACGTGACATGGGCGGGAAATGGAAACGGGAGGACAGACCCTGAGCCCCTCGTCGGCCAGCACTGTGGAAAAAGTGCTCAGACACGTGAAGGGATGACAGCGTCAATCAGGTGCGCACCCGTCAGCGCTCTCCTGTGCGCCCAGGGCCGGTTCTCCCTGAAAGGCACGGTTCGAGGTCCGCGCAGCGGGTGGGCGTGGGTGGGCGCTGTGGGCCGAGCGCCGGCGCAGGCCATGATTTGTCGATCACATGCTTAGGTGCGGGCTCGCCGCTGGGCTGCTCTGCTCGCAGCTGCTCAGCGGCTGGGAGGCCAGCAGATTTACCAACGTGGCTGCCCAGGGAAGTTCTCTCGTTGAGCACCCTGTCTCCATCGCAGCTGGTCGGCCGGCTACCAGGTCGTGCGGAAGACGGGGTGCTTCAGTAGCTCTCTTGACGGAGGTCTGTCCTGAGGCTGAAGTTCTAGACAGCGAAGAGCCACGTCCCGTAACCCGGGCGACAGGTGGGGCGGGATGGCCGGCGCCGTGGTCGCACTCGCGATCTGCGGGAGGAAGAGCAGAGCTGCACCAGCCCGCCCGGCGCTGGGGCCCCGGCACGGCTGGGCCCGCGCGCAGAGTCCTCGCCTCGCACCCACCGGCGCAGGGAGGGCTGCCATCCCATGGGGGCCGCGAGGCGAACGGGGTGCGAGGCAGGTTCCTTCTAAGAAGCCCGCAGAGTTCAGGGTGTCAGAATTTGGTCAGACACACCCTGACCAGACGGACCCACGCGGGCCCTCCTGCCTCCAGTGAACCGAGGTGAGCGCACGTCAACAGCTAGAGGAGTTCGGCTGCCCTGCGGGTGATTTCCGCGCGGCCCCACGCTGCTCCGCACCTTCTCTCTCTCTGCAGCGCAGAGGCGGAGGAGGAAAGGTTGACCCCTGCCAGTCAACTGAGCCCGGAAGCACACTGCCCCGCCCACCCGGGCTCGCTGGGCGGGGCGGGGCGCGCAGAGGCGGGGCGAGGGGCGGGGCCACAGAGCTCCTTCGGAACCAGCCCGGGAAGCGGGTGCTGTGCTACAGCCGCTGGACGGCCAGCCAACCGGGGCCAGCCAACCGGGGTAGCGGGCAGGATGAGTGCCTTTCCCAGTCCTGCGGCCGTGGTGAGAGGACCGGGCAGCCGCACACCAGCCTGCCCGAATCCGGTCCCCACCCAGCGCACGCCCCCTTGCAGAACAGAGAGCGCACGACTCGCGTGGTCAGGAAGGGAGAGCAACCAGGACCCGGAGGCTCACGGGGGCGTGCTTTTAAAATACAGAAGATAGTAAACTGGAGTTTCAAACGAGCTTCGGGTTTAAACTCGGAAGTTTGTAGTGCGTTTCAGCCGGGAGCAGGGGTTCGGTGCTCGCTCGTTGCCGCTGGGAAGAAGGGGCCCGCCCTGCCACGCGGCGTCCCAGCGGTGCGTCTGTGCGCGCACGTGCGTGGACTCCTTTATTTCAAGATCAGAAGCACACGCCCCCCAGTGAGATCGGCAGTCACAGAGGACCCGTTACCTTGAATATGAGCGCAAGGTGGTTGGAATGCTTCTCCGCGTTCCACGGGGGTTTGGCGCAGGCCATCTCTATGATGGCGCAGCCGACGCTCCACACGTCGCAGCTCCGCCCGTACTGCTGGCCTCGCAGTACCTGGGGAAAGCAGGTGTCAGCAGGGGAAGGGGCTGCTGGGAAAGGCGGGGTGCCGCTCTGTGGCGTGAAGATGCGACCCGAAACCCTGTGGACTGCCCCGTGTCTCGTTTACTTCATGGATGAGCTTTAACCTGCGCGTGGCACAAGACTGTCTTGGAGAACCGTGAGGTACTGCAAAGCCGCCTGAAACCACACAGCTTCCTCCGGCCCCGACCCCGGGGAGTCGCTGTGTGGCCGAGGAGCTCAGACCAGCCTGACCTTCGACCTCGACCCCGTGAGACCTGCTTCTGTTTTGTGTGTTGTGTTCTACTGCAACACGGCCGCTGCCAATGCCCCGATGCTTCTTTGTTAAAACAGCCCGTGAGCACCTCCACTAGACCACCCTTAAGAACTGTGTTAAGACAAAGGGGAAAAGCAGGGCACACTGGACAGCGCTGCTAGTGACCTGGGCGTGACGCTGTCACCGGAACTCTCGTCACCCGCAACGCTGCTCCTCACCTCGGGTGCCATGAAGGCGATCGTCCCCAACAGCTGCCCCTGGAACTCCCCCGCGCCGGTCCCCTTGGAGGCCAGCCTGGCCGCAGCCCCGAAGTCGGCGATCCTCAGTCTCTGCCCGGTGCTGTCGATCAGCAGGTTGGCACCTGCCGACCAGCATGAAGGACAGATTACAAACGGCAAAGTGCTATGAGCGGCACAGGACAATGACAAATGAAAGGAGGGGACCGCATGCCAGAGGTCCAGAGAACTGACTCTCAAGTCCTGGCAGGTACCCAGGGCTCTGCAGTGCAAAGTGGACGCAACCCGGACCCTCGGAGGGAAGACCCCCACCAAGGCCCAGACACGAGGAGATCAAGGTGAGATTTAGGGAAATGCTGAGTGTTAAAATCCTTTAACAGAGTGATTCCCAGCAAAAATCTTCCTTCAACATTCAGATTTGAGTGTAGTTTACATTTTAAAATAAAGTTCTGTTGAAATATACTGACACAGACCAAGTCAAATTACTATAATTTCACCATTATCGCTTAATAAGAAATTAACATTTTTAAAAAGATTTTATTTAGTCAGTTTTTAGAGAGAGGGGAAGGGAGGGACAAAGAAAAACATCAACTAGTGGCCCATCTGGGATTGGGACCACAACCCAGGCATGTGCCCTGACCGAGAATAGAACCTACAACCTTCAGCTTTGTGGTACAACACTCAACCCACTGAGCAACACTGCCCAGGCAAAAAAGAGTAACGTTGTGAAATTACTTGAATATATTATGTCAAATACTAGATAAAGACACTCATGTCAGAAAATCAAAGCTGCGATCTAATAGAGACTTCTGGCCAAGATGGAGGAGTGGTAGAAACACTTTGCCTCCCTGCACAACCAAAAGGACAACAACCAATCCAAAAACAATAATCAGAACTGCCAAAAAAACAGACTGCATGGAACTCTGACAACCCAGGAGTTAAAAAAAAAACACTCATCCAGACCAGTAGGAGGGTTGGAGATGGGCAGTCGGGGAGAAACTCCCAGTCTCACAGGAGAGTTCGGTTGGAAAGTGGGACTTGAGTGGAGCAGGCGGGCCACACTGATCCGTTTCTGGCTCCTCCCCCACAGACAGTGCCACAGTGCAGCCCCACCCTGGCGAACACCTAAGGCTCCGCCCCTTACAACATACCAGGTGTGCCTGATAAAGAAATATGGCCCAGATGAAAGCACAGATCAAAACCACAGAAAATGAGCTAAGTGATGAGGAGAGAGACAACCTATCTGATGCGAAGTTCGTAACACTGGTGATCAGGATGCCCACAGAATTGGGTGAGTATGGTTGCAAAATAGAGATAAAAAGTGAAGGCTATGCAAAGTGAAATAAAGGAACATGTACAGGGAACCAACAGTGAAGGGAAGGAAACTGGGACTCAAATCAACGATTTGGAACAAAAGGAAGAAATAAACATCCAACCAGAACAAAATGAAGAAATGAAAATTCAAAAAAGTGAGGAGAGGCTTAGGAACCTCTGGGACAACTTTAGATGTTCCAACGTCCGAATCATAGGGATGCCAGAAGGAGAAGAGGAAGAGCAAGAATTGGAAACTTATGTGAACAAATAATACAGGAGAACTTCCCCAATCTAGCAAAGGAAATAGACTTCCAGGAAGTCCAGGCAGCTCAGAGAGTCCCAAAGAAGCTGGACACAAGGAAGTATACCCGAGGTACCTCATAATTATATTACCCAAAGTCAAAGGTAAGAAGAGAATCTTAAAAGAAGCAAGAGAAAAGGAGACAGTTACCTACAAAGGAGTTCCCATCAAACCGTCAGCTGATTTCTCAAAAGAAACCTTACAGGCAAGAAGGAGCTGTGAAGTATTTGAAGTCATGAAAGGCAAAGACCTACATCCGAGATTACTCTACCCAGCAAAGCTTTCATTTACAATGGAAGGACAGATAAAGTGCTTCCCAGATAAGGTCAAGTTCAAGGAGTTCGTCATCACTTAGCCCTTATTGTAAGAAATGCTAGAGGGACGTATCTAACAACAACAAGATCAAAACCACATACAGTAAAATTACAACAAACTCATAAATATCAACAACTGAACCTAAGAAACAAAAAGTAGGCAAACAACTAGAACAGGAAGAGAATCACAGAAATGGAGATCACGTGGAGGGTCATCAGCGGGGAGGGGGAGGAGAATGGGGGGAAAAGGTAATGAGAAGCATAATTGGTGTGCATGGACTAGAAGGGAAGAGGTGAAGAACAGTAAGGGAAACGGAGAAGCCAAAGAACTTACATGTATGACCCACGGACACGAACTAAGATGGGGGAATGCTGGTGGGAGGGGGCTACAGGGCAGAGGGCAATAAAAGGGAGGAAAAACCGAGACGACTGTAATAGCATAATCAATATAATATACTTAAAAGTACAAATTGGTAGGTACAAAATAGGGAGGTTAAGAACAGTATAGGAAAATGGAGAAGCCAAAGAGCTTATATGTACGACCATGAACATGAACTAAGGGGAACATGAACTAAGGGGAAATGCTGGAGGGACAGGGGGTACCGGACAGAGGAGGGCAAAGGGGGGAAAATTGGGACAATTGTAACAGCAAAATTAATAAAATACATTAAAAAATTTTTAAAAAGAAAGAAAAGCCACTATTAATTGGACTGCAAAAGACTTGAAAGGACTTTCCTTAAACGTTTGTAATATCACAATTATTCTAACTGAAACTGGGAAGAGGACCTTTGGGGGGGGAAGTACACTCCAAGATCGAGGCTGGGACTTGGAGACCTGGTGTCCACACTGCGTCTGCCGGCTCAGGGCAGCAAGGCTGCAGAAGTCGCTGCCTCCCTGAGGACGCAGGGGACGAGGCCCTACAGGTCCCTTCGGTCCCAACAGTGCTAGTGAGTCACTCCAGAGAAACTGCCCTGCAGTTGATCTCAAGTGAGAAACCATCAACAAAGGTGCAGGTTTCAGAATTACATTCATCTTCTACTTACTGCTGATAAATAATAATGAAAAGAACTTCTATCTTTGCCCTGGCTGGTGCGGCTCAGTGGACTGAGTGCCAGCCTGAGAACCACAGCATCACCGGTTCCAATCCCAGTTGGGGCACATGCCTTTGTTGTAGGCCAGGTCCCCAGTGGGGGGCGCAAAAGAGGGAACCAGTAGATGTTTCTCTCCCTTTCTTCTTCCTCTCCCCTCTCTCTAAAAATGAATAAATAGAATCTTAAAAAAGAAAAGAATGCCCACCTTTGACATCTCTGTGAATGATCTGGTTTTCGTGGAGATACGAAAGGCCACGGAGTAACTGTTCAGTGTAGTTAATAACTACCGACTCCTTGAAGGCTCCATATTTACTGAGCAAATGAGCCACAGACCCCCCTGCAAGACAAATACAAAACAGGAATAACCGTCACAAACTTTAGCCAGAATTAACGTTACTTATTATACTTTAATAACGTAAGGTTGTATTTATTTCTGCACATCCACACCCACATTTGAAATGTTCATTTACGCTCTGCATCAGAAGTGAAACTGAGTTAAAAACTAACACATTTTACTAAAAGTAACCTCAAAACTTATCAATTAGGAGACTTTCATGGAACCCTCACGGACTAGTTTTTCGTAAGGTCAAGATTTCAGAAAGCCTCAACAGTTAAGAATTTTGTACGGAACTGTTTCTTAAATGCACAATTCGCCTGTCTTTTCGACCGAGATGCACAGAGTGCCTGTGTTAGTGCTGTAAGTAAACGGTGCCAACCTGTGGTGTGGCAGAGGAGAAAGCGTGGGCAGAGCCGCAGACCCGGCGGAGGCTTGGCAGCCAAATGCTTCCCAGCCGTGACCTCAACGAGCCTCAGTAACAAGTGTTCATGCTCACCAGCCTCCACAGCACCATCGACCCAGCCACAGCCCACACCGAGAATGCACTGAAGAACAGATGGTGGAGGTGAAGGTCAGGGTGGGGACCCTGGGCCCTCTCCTGCCACAGACACACCAAGCTACAATCAGGCAGGGCCAGCCACTGCTGAGAACCACCAGAGACGAGCCGAGCGGCGCTGCCAGCCTCACGGATGCCGAGAAGCCGCGTGGACACAGGAGGGGCAGAGACAGGCTTGACCAGGACCCACGCCACAAGTGTGGGGACTCCTGAGTGGGACGGGTGCCACAGCCCAGCTGCCCTCCACGAGGGGCGCTGCACCAGGAGGATGACCCCTGACCACGCCCCCCAATGAAGGGAAACTGTTGGTGGGACCCCAGCAGTCCCGGCCCAGCTTTCCCGGAAAGGGGCGTTTACCTGCACAGGAGACCCTGAGGCACCTGCCCTGGGGACCGGGGGCCTGGGCCGCCGGGCCCCTGGGACACCGTCCACCTAGGACCACTTACACGGGCTCGGGAGGTGCAGCTAATCTGCCGAACACACGGAGGAGAGACGGAGGGAGGCGAAATGAGACAGAAGAGCGTCTTCCACGTAAAAAACCGTGAAGGCCGAGAAAAATAGCCCATGAAACCGAGGTGAGCAGCCTGCCAGGCGCGAACTGAAAACGACGGTTAGAAGACGCTGGTGAACTCGGGGGAAGAATGGCCCCACCAGTCCGAACTGAGGGGAGGTAAGACCGCACTCCGGGCGTCAGCAGCAGGTTGGGGGGCGCAGGAGAGCCGACCCGTGACCTGCAGGACAGAGGCGTGGGCAGCACTGCATCTGGGCAGGCAGAGGAGCGCGATTTTTAACGAGGGCAGTTGAAGGGGCCCTCGGGGACAACACCGAGCACCCGGCAGTCATGTCACTGCGGGGCCAGAAGGAGAGGAGAAAAGGGACAAGACCTGTTTGAAGAAAGAATGACTAAAAACTACTCCACTCTGATAAAGGGGACAGACAGCCAAGTCTGGGCAGCACAGAGTCCCAAACGAGATGGACCCAAAGAGGCCCACCCAAGACACACCTTAATTAAAATGAAGAGAGAATCTTAGAAGCAGCTAGTTTCGCACATGGCAACACCTGTAAGGCGACCCGCTGCAGGACAGGGGAGGGGAGGGTGGGTGGTACAACATATTCAAAGCGATAAAAAGGAGACACCTGCGCCCAGGAACACCTGACCTGGTGCGGTTCTTACTCAGACACGAGGAGAGAAAGAGACTCAGACGAGCAGAGGCCAAGGGAGGGCACTGCCCCTAAACCGCACAGAAGGCAGGAAAGGACGGGCCGGAGGCACAGACGAGAAGGTGCAGGGAAAAGAGCTCAGGGACAGAGGCGAGCACTTAGGAAAACCAGTGATCGGCTGGCGACAAGGCTGGTGTGGAGGTTACAGGACAAACAGAAAACCACGGGCATGTACAGCAATTAACGCAGAAAAAGACTCCAACCACATAAAACATGGGAACGTTTAGGATGCGCTCCAACCTCAGCGGCCATCGAGTTGAAGCGCTCCCAGCAACCACAAACCAGGACCCCTGACACACAGGGAAAAAGAGGGGAGCCCACCGAACGTGACCCCGAGAGATCGCGGACGCAGGAAGAGAGCGGGAGGAAAACTACCAGAAAACAATGACTAAGGTGGCATCAAATACATCCCATCAACAATCATGTACATGTAAGTGGATTGAATGCTCCGGTCGAAAGGCACAGGGTGGCTGAATGGACGGAAAAAGACAAACGACCCGTCTACAGGCCACCTGTGAGCAACGCACTTCAGGTGCAAAGACACGCGGGCAGAAGGGAAGGGGGGCAGGTGGCTGGTGCAGGTGGGGGTGGACAGAAAGCCGGTAACTATGGTAACTGTGCTTCTACCGGACAGAGCGGACGCTAAAACGAAGCCGGCGCGGAGAGACGGAGGAGGGCGCCACGCGGCGGTGCAGGACCATCCAAAGGGGGCGGGGCGCACGGGGCCCCTCCGGGCAGCTCTCGCATTCCAGAAGGTTGTGGGGTCAGTCCCTGGTTGGAGTGCGGATGAGAGGCAACCGACAGACACTTCTCCATTTCACACCGATACCCTCTCCCCACCCTCCTCTCTCTAAAATCAGTAACATCTCCTCAGGTGAGGATGACTAATAAATAAGTAACAAACAAAATAACAGCGGGGGACTTTGATGAGCCATTTACATCAATGGGTAAATCATCTTGACAGAAGACCAAGAGAGAAAGACTGGTCTTAAAACCCTCATGGCCTTGACTGGTGTGGTCAAAGCGTTTCATCCAGAAGGAGCAGAAGACCCATTCGCCTCAAGTGCGCATGGAAGGTTTTCCAGGACGGACCACGTGTTAGGCCACAAGACAAAGTCTCAGTAAAGTTAAGGAGACTGGAGTCACCCCGACCATGTTCTCTGACCACAGAAATATGAGACTGGAAATCAGTTACAAGAAGGAAACTAGAAAGAACACAAACGCATGGAGACTAAACAACATCCTACTAGACATTCAACAGGATAACAAAAACATCAAAGAGGAAGTAAACACGTATCTTGAAACATGACGTAACAATCCCACTGACAACTGCATCTCAGAGAATAAGGTACCTGGAAAGAAACTTAACCAAGGAGGTGTACGGCCCGCTCTCTGAAGTCTAAGATCTGGAGGCAACTGAAGAGGACCCAGACGGAAGGACAGTCCGTGCTCACAGGCTGGGAGACTTGGTGCCTTTAAAATGCCCAGGCCGCCCAGGCAGCACACAGACCTGGTGCAGCCCCATCAAAATACCAGTGGCGTCCTCAGAATCAGACGAATGACCTTAAGTTTACATGGAGCCACAAAAGACCCCGACGGCCGAAGCGGTCTTGAGAAGGATGAACAAGGCTTCTGGAGAAGCATGGTCCCTGATTTCAAAACTATACTACAAGCTACAACAATCAAAGCAGCGTGGTACTGTCATGGAACAGACACATAAGTCGTTGGAACAGACTAGGAAGACCAGAAATTAACTGACACTTATGTGGTCAATTAACCTACAACAAAGGAGGCAGGAATGTACAATAAGGAAAAGATGGTCTCTCTGATAAATGGTGTTAGGAAAACTGGACCCCTTTTTATTATGCCATACACAAAAATAAACTCCAAATGTATTAAAGATCGACATGTAAGACCTGAAACCATAAAACTTCTAGAAGACAAAACAGGCACAAACTCTTTGACATCAGTCTTAGGCATATTTTTTTTGGATATGTGTCCTCAGAAAAGGACAGCAAAAGAAAAAAAAAAAACAAATGGGACCACGTCCAACAAAAGCTTTTGCACATTAAAGGAAATCATCAACAAAACAAAAAGTCAGCTGCTCACTCACTGCAGGGGAGAAGTAGTCACACTGATGCGTCTGATGGGAGGTCAAGACCCAGAACACATCAAGAACCCATACAGCTCAACGTCAAAAAACCAAACACACCCAAAAAAGAGAAAAAGGAACCCCCCAACAAACCTTCTAAAAATGGGCGGAAGACCTGAACAGACGCTTCTCCAAAGAGGACACACAGATGGCCAATGGACACAGGTGCTCAGCATCAATAACCAGAGACGTGCAAGTCTGAACCACAGTGAGATGTCACCGGTCCGAACGGCCGTCCCCAATAAATCCACACCCAAGTGCTGGCGAGGACGTGGAGAAAGGGGACCCTCGTGCCCTGCTGGTGGGAGTGCAGATGGGGCGGCCGCTGTGGGAGTGCAGTGTGGAGACGCCTCAGAACTACGAAGACTACGTATGACCCAGCAACTCCACTCCTGGGCATTTCTCTGAAGAAGGCAAAAGCAGCAACTGGACAGGAAGTGTGTGCACCCCCATTTTCGTGGCTGCACTATTCCCCGCACGTGAGAACCGGAAGCAACCTGGGCGTCCAACGGCAGACGCAGGGGTAAAGCAGAGGGAACACGGCTCAGTCGTAGGGAAGGTGAGCTCTTGCCATTGTGGGAACAGAGACGGACCTGGAGGGTGTCGTGCTCCGTGACCGGAGTCAGGAAGAGACAAACTGTAGGGTCTCCCCCGCAGGCGGCAGCTGAAGGACAGGCAGATGAACAAGTGGGACGGGGCAGCGACGGGTGCCCAGACCGGGCGCCATCAGGGACGGGGCGCCGGAGGCTGTCCGGAAAGCTGGGGTGGGGGGGCGAGAGGCAGCAGCTCTCGACTGTAGAGTCAGTCGGCTGCAGGGACGCAGCGCGCAGGACAGGGACGGGAGAGCACGGCGTCGCCATGACTCTGGTGACGGGTGATCAGACTTCGCGTGCCGGCCCCTCGTCGGGTGTGGAGTCACTATGCCGTGCACCCGTGCACACACTGTGTGTCACTGCCCCTCCGCCGGAAAGCAGGGACTTGTAAGTGGACACACGCCCTTCAAACACGAAACGCAGTGCCTTCTTCCCTGGCTGACAGGGGGACAAGGCTCACGCTCCAGTGCCAGCTGCCTAGGATAGACTCTCAAGTCCTGTCTTAATCAGTTTTAAGACATCGCTTGTACCTGTCCAGTTAATGAAGGCCACTTGGAAAAACATGGATCTTATACCTAGAGGTTAAAAAAAAAACAATTCCTATAAAACAGTGCTACGCAACCATTTTAAAAGAAACTCTGAAAAAGCTTAAGAGGTAGAAGCGACGGGTGATTTATTTGCCTCAGTGAACGACAACGCAAACTATTCACAGCTCATCCCACTGTGTCAGGACAGCTGGCTTCTAGAAACTATTAATAAAAAGGTAAGTGTTCACGAAGACGTTTTCCCTGAACACCAAGCAGGACGCCACACCCACGCGCTGCGTCCGCGCTGCGGCTCCGAGGGCGCCCACCTGCCATCCACTCGATGAAGAGGTTGTAGTTGCTCTTCTCGCACGTTGCCCCCAGCATCCTGACCACGTTGGGGTGGCTCAGGTGGCTCATCATCCTTATCTCCTCCCTCAGAGCTTCCACCACCTCCTCCTGCTCCGACGACGTGTTTCTGACGTACGTCACCTGTGCCAGGAAACCCCACGCTTACAGATCCTGGTGTGGCGACGAGTCTCCGGTCGCCGCGCCCACCAGCAACCTGACCCAGAACAGAGAGACCCCCAAGAGCCTCTCTGTTCACAGTCGATGGCCTTTACGCTCGTGGACCAACACTTTATAGAAAACCTGGTCCAACTCTCTGAGAGAATAAGAATCTTGCTTTAGAACCCCAGTGAAACAATCAGGAAAATGACCACAAGAAAGAAAAAAGGGGCCTGGCCAGTCCTCCCAAACTGTCCGAGGTAAAACGTGGGGTGAGCTCAGTCCTGGGGGCACCTGCACTGTAGAGGGGAACCACAGAACCCCCGGGGGGACCAGCGCCGGTCCCCTCACTGGAGGGGGGAGGAGAGCCCAGCCCCCACCTGCCAAGAGTAAGACACGGACAAAGCCCCAAACAGCCTGCACCCCACGCTGCGCCCAACAGCTGCGCCCCCACTTCCACGGTCCGTGAGGCTTTGGCACCATCTCCGCTGAAACTGAGGTTTCTGAGAACGTGAGGAGCTGACGCCCAAACGCACAGGGCTGCTCCCTCGCTCTCAGGCTCACGGTCTCAGTCACTTCCGTCCACACTGCACACGCACCTGTTTCACAGCCATCAGGGTGCCAGTGCCCACGTCCTGGGCCTGGTAACAAGAAGAGAAGGCCCCCAGGCCTATCTGCTGGCCTTTCAACCACTCCACGTCTTCTCGGTAGGGGAGCTTCGCCGTGGTGTGCCCCGGCAGGGTCTCTGGCGTCTGCACGGTAAACGAGAGCATCTTTTGTTCGTCACGTTAGAAAAGGGACTGGCCAAATACTGTGCGTGTTCGGTCTGGCTTCCATGCCACCCAGGGACCGTGCTGGTCACGGTCAGTCCCCCTCTGCGGCACAGTCTCCTACGCAGTGCAGAGGGGGCCGCCATGATGAGTCCCAACCAGGAAGGCCTGACACAGGCAGGAGCGTTTCCGTTCAGTGACACAAACACTAATTAATTCTACACGGAAAACCCACTTTCTAACGAGGAGCGGAGCTCCTGTTACAGCGACGCTGCTGCGCAGACGCACTGTGGCCCCGGGACCCGCACTCACGTCCGGCTGGATGATGATGACGTCCTCCCCGCTCCCCACCTGCAGCTGCGGCACGGTGGGGAGCGCGTCCTGAGACGCCGACATGGCCATGGCCATGGCCAGCGCCTCCTCCTCCTCGGCCTCCAGCTTCTCCTTGCACTGCTGGTTGTGGGTCACGTCGTCTTTGTAGGTGTCATCGCTTTCGTCCTTTTCGGGGGAGAGGACGGCCACTTCTGACTTGAAAGTGACCGTGGTGTCACTCGAGGGCATGGACGCCTCGAGGAGGTCCTCGATGCTGGAGTTGAGCTCTGCGCTGACATCTAACCTGCCCTTGTCCTCCACGGGGGTGAACACTGTCTTGTCGCTGGGGATGACAGCGTGACTGTCACTGCCGAAGCTGTCGTCACCCCTGCACGGGCCGTCCAGGTCAAGGGTCAGGCTGTGCTGGGCGGCGTCACCCTGTTTGCCAGAGCCACCTGGGGGCGGCCGAGCCGGCTTTGGCCTGTGGACGGTGCTGGAGGGCGGGGGCCCGCACTGAGTGAAGACCGGGGAGAGCTTGTCCGAGTCTTTGTTCTCGGAGCAGTTTCTCTGGAACTGCAGGGAAAACTTGCGCTGCGCTTGGGGGGGTGCAGAAGGAGCTCTGCAGGGAGCGAACCCCTGAGGTCTGGGCCTGGAGCTGTCAGGCACGGCCGGGGCAGAGGAGGCCGGGGCCGACGGGGCTGGGGGCGAGAAGGCGGAGTGCAGGGAGAGGGGGGGTGAGCTGAGACACTGGCTGTGGGGCCTGCCCTTGGTCTGCACCACGGGCTTCGGCTGCTCTGTCGTGGCCGAGCCCAGAAGCCCCATGGAAAGGCCGGCCAGCCTGTCGGAGACGTCCTCAGAGCTGGCGCTCAGCCTGGCAACCCGCAGGCCCCTCCCAGTTCTCTCTGTGGGGTCCGTGCGCTCGGTGGAGCTGTGCTCTGCGGCTCCCGGGGGGCTGTCACGCCCCGACCCCCGCGGGAAGCTGCCCTGTCGACTGTCCAAAGCGTCCTCGCCGTCCAGCTGCAGGGCCTCGGCAATGTCCACCTCCTCCGCGATGGCCATCAGCCGGCGGCGCATCCTGGCGAAGTGGGTAGAGCTGGACACACTCAGCATCTCCAGCAGCTTGGAGAACACACGGGGCACGGCGGCGACCATTCGCGCGGAGCTCAGGTAGACCCTCCGGGAGAGCTTGCCCACCATGGAGTGGGGGTTGTCGATGGACTGCAGGGCGAAGCTCAGGAGCGAGAGCAGCTTCTGGTACCTGCAAGGGAGACGTGCCAGGTCACTGTGCAAGCCACAGTCACTGCAAAATAGCACAGGTGGAAGGAAGATGGGGGCAAGTTACAGCCGCACATGAAAGAAAATTGAAGTAACGAGCCTAGACTTCAGGTCTTAGCGTGCATCAAATGGCAGTAACTGTGTGTTCACCCTGCAACGCCTGCGTCTTTCACGCATCTACAGCGTCTTGTTCGTGGGGGCCGGGGTGTGCAGTGGGGCGGGGAGGTGGAGGAGAGCCCACCTGACTTCAACAGGCTCAGCCTGGGCAGCCTCGGGACTGACGACATGGGGGTAAAACTCAGCGGGGAACTCCAGCAGCAGCCTGTCGATCAGGCAGAGGCGGCCCAGGAGCTCCTGCCAGTTGTTGGAGTCAGTGTGGTTCCCGAGAATACAGCTCACGACAAAATCAACGCCCCCGACACCAATGGACCCTACAGAAAGGAAGGTGGCAGTGAGTGACCGAAGTGGAGTGACGCTGAGTCCTCACACAAAACGGGAGCACAGGGCGCCAGGCAACCCGGCAGCAGAGCTGCGCTGGCGGAGGAGCTGCTCTTGGGGTCACCGTGAAGTCCCGCAACAGCGGGATCAGAGGTCATGAGACTGGACAGTCTGCTAAGGAAAATGGTAAGTCACGTGATGTCAATTTTAAGTAAAAAGCCATTACCAGCTTTGAGTATCTCTCTGCCAACCGCCAGCTCCCCCGCTTGGCCCTTGCAGAGCTCCAGCAGCGTCGAGACGGACAGCTGGCTGGTGCGGCTGAAAAGGAAAGGATGCGGTCAGACTCACTGCTGGGCGGACGCGCACTGGCGGGGGCCGGGCAGGGCGGGGAGCGGTGGTCCCCGGACTGCCCGCTTTTCTGCTGCCGAAGCTGCATTCACGGCGTCGCTACAAATGACCACATTCATTAGTGGGTCTGATTTCCTAAGTTCTGCCTTCCCTCCACTGTGAGCGGAGTCTCTGCTCCTGGCTCTCAGACACAAGTGCTGACTTCAGTGTCCAACACGGTAAGAGAAAAAGCTTCTTCTCATTAGCATATCTTGTTAAAATAAAAAAGACTCAAGATGTTTTGGTTTCTTAATTTTCACTAGATTTTCTTGGAGCGAAAATAAGACCTTCCTAATCCAACCCTTTATATTTTCTCATATGGCAGAATGAGTTCCAAATATGAAACTCTCTTTACAGTATTTCTCACAGTGTTTCATTAAAGCAACCCGATAAACAACCTGAGTTTAAAATTTTAGAAAGCAGACAACGGAACAAATGCCACAAGAGCACTGACGGTCTCCAAAAATCTCACTCTAGTGCTGAAGTGCCCTGAGTTTTCGGTGCGTCTCACAAACCGTCAGCCTGCCCAGTGGTTCTCAGGGTCGCAGCCCCGAGAAAGCCTCCGGCGCCGCCGGTCTGCGGGCTCGTGCTCCTGGGCAGGTGGAGGGCAGGCCGGGCAACCTGGGCGCCGGGCTGCAGCTGAGCACCGGGTGCTGAGCCCCGCACACCACACCACGTGACTGAGGGACGGGGCGCAGCGAGCAGGGGCGACCTGGGACCCCTGACGCTTCTCACCGCCAAGGCCTAGCAAATGCCGTCTGCGTGGCTGTGCTTGCTCAGCGACGAGGGGCCTTCCCGCCCACGGGGTGGGCACGAAGAGGGGCCCGGAGTCTGGGGGACACGCAGCCATGCTCGTCGTTCCTGTCCCCAGACCTCACCCCCCCCCCGAGTCCCCACCCTTTAATGAGGGTCACTCTGGTCCCTTGTCGATGTTTGAGGAGGGTGCAGGGGTACGTGGAGTTGGGGGGGTGTTGTTATTCGATATAAACTCTCACAATTAGAATGAAATTCCATGACACGGGAACTAACGACACTGCTTTTCCTTTGGGCAGGGTCCCGATGACCAGGCAGTCGGACAGACCCCCCGGACCTGCCCCGAGTCACCCAGGCTCTGAAGGGAATGAGGCCCGGAAGTCGCGCACGTCGGCCGTCGTCCCGTCAGCTGGCCTCGAGAGGAGGCTGTCAGTGGACGCCCGAGGGCCCTGCGCGGACGGCGTGGGGCAGGTCCCCAGAGCTCACCTGTTGGAATCCGCGCACTTGACCAGGACGGTGTCCACCACGGGCCGCAGGAGCCGCTGCAGTCGGAGCCTCTCTGCCGGGCTGTGGCACGGCGTGTACACAAGCATGGCCCGCAGCGTTTTCTGGGGGCGAGACCGGGGCCGGGTCAGCGCCCGAGGGCGTCCGAGAGGACAGGCCACCCGGGGCCGTCTGAGTGACGGCAGACAGCGTGGCCACACACAGCTCGAGACTCCATGACGTAAGTGTGTGACTGGGCAGGCAGACGGGGTGGGGAGGGGCTCTGTGACCTCTTCCTGCAGTTCTTTATGGTCTGAGTCAGTTTCAAGATGGGAAGTCAAAGTTATTTTAAAAAGAAAACGAGAGCAGAGCCAACCTGACTCTCGCCCCCAAAGGCCAAAGGAGGGGCCAAAGGAGGAAGGGCTGAGCAACGGCATACACGGTGGGGGTGCTGAGTCGGGGGGCCGCTGGGGTGGCCAGGGGCAGGGGTGCGCAGAGGGGTCAGCACCAGCCTTCTGAGTAGGACAGCACACTGAGACAGCTCGAAGACCGCATTTTGTGTGCCACGCACTCTAACCCATTTGTGGGGAGTGTCCTGATGCCGGCGAGAGCTCTCAAAGGGTTCAGCAAAAATTACGCAACAGAGGAAGCGGGACGGGGGAGGAGCTGTAAGGCCTGGGGCTGTCTCTGCTGCCACGTGCTGGACATGCTGTGACTGTGGAGGCAGCAGGCCACTGTGAGACCCGGAGTCCCCTCACTCTGGGGGCCCGCAGACAACTGGGGAAGCCCCCGCCCTTCAGAAGAGACAACCAGACCACAGTCAGCGTGTGGAGCGTGCTGGCCCCCCCTGAGGGCCGCGTGGGAGAACAGCCTGTGTGGGGGCAGACTCGGGAAGTGACGCGCCTGCCCCGCGCTGCCCAGCGCACACCAGCTCACCGAAGGTCTGCCAGCAAACAGACCCAGCCCGACAGACCTGGTGCTCGCAGGCCCTGAGCACACTGAGCCCTGTGCACACCGAGCCCTGTGCACACCGCCGCACCCGCCCAGAGCCCCGGCGGCAGTGGGTCACAGCCTTCAGTGCCCTCCCACTGCGCTTGGTGTGGGGCGAGTTTCCATTTCAGACCCGAGCAGAAAATGCTTTCATCACTCTACAGGTAAGAAAGCGTGGGTCTCGGAGTCCTGAGGTCACACTGCCAGCAGACAGGAGACCCAGACCTGAGTCAGGGACTCTGTGCCTTGGACCACGTGTGCCCCTGGTGTCCCGAGCGGGTGAAGCTGGGGCAGCGACTCGGCCAGGGGTCTGTCACGGAGCCCGTCTCCGTGGGAGCGCGGCTGACCTTCCACACAAGGACGGTCACTGGGAATAGGCTCTCGTCAATGTCCACCAAAGAGAAATCTGGGTAACTGATCACCCTGCTCTCACCTGATTGAGTGCTTTGCCTTGGTCGTGTGTGAGGGAAACGTGAAAAAGTGAACAGCAAACCCCTGCTGTAACAGGATGCAGCCAGGAGGGGGGCCCCCCAAAAAAGGGATTTGGAATGGGGTCCAGAACTCAAGGTGTCCAGGAAATGTTAGAAAGACATATAAGATGTCCTCACCCACTACGCCCCCCCAGGTGTCAGTTGGGGGAAGGGACACATGGAGCAGGACCATTGAGAGCTGTTTTGCACAGCAACAGTTTCGCAGCTAACTTCTAGGATGGTCATTTAACATATCTATAACCTTTAACTGGTTTCATGGATATGTTAAATAGCTGTGGCCATGCTTTGAGCCAGGGAGAAGGGAGTGACTTCCACCCAGGATGTAATTGGGAGGCAACACCCCCTGCTTACAGCACCTGCGTGAGAGCGTGGAGTTGATTGGCTCCACGCCATGGGGACCCACCTGCCCTGACTTACTATGGTAGCCCAGTAAAGCTGGGAATATATGAGAGTCCTGGCAGGTGTAGCCGCTTGTGGGAGGAGTCAGAAATGGGGCTGCAAAGGAGGACTGGCGCGGGTATTTAAAACCCAGATGCGGCAGCCATTGGAGGCGGACCATGCACTTCTGCCAGAGTGGGGACGTTCATAGCCATGTGAGAAGAGAAGAAGAACCATGGGGTTTTGGCCAGAGTGGGTACCCCGCAGCTCTGGTAGAAGAGGACCACACGGCCTTGGGGTGCTCCCTTTTGCCATGTGGCCTGGGAAGCAGCAGAGACTTTGCCTGGAAGAAGGTGAAAGAACTCTTGCCAGTGGACCATGAGAAGGTGCCACATGGCTTTGGATTAATCGGAGATCCTGCCCGGATGGCGACACAGCTGACGGTGCCAGGAACCTGAAACACGATGTGTGCTTCTTTTCCTGAGATACGGTACCCGGAGTTAGGATGGGGGAGAGGGAAGTGCTGTGGGTGTCTGTGGTTATCCTAAAGGACTTTGATATCTTAATGGGGACGTTGGGTCACTACTTAAAGTCTGTGTATAGCTTTAAATAAACCTTTCCTTTCCTTTTCACAAATCTCTGGCATTGAGAGATGTTTTTCCTCTGGCAATGGACAGACGAGCCCAGTAGGCATTAGTATACTGTCCTCGGGAGGGGCCCCTGTTGCTCTGTAGCAGTTTTTAGCGTCCCTGGGCGGGCCAAATATTGCCCCCCGGGACCTTCCTTCTGTAACCCTGCTGCAGCACACAGCACACGGGTGCAGAGGAAAACAAGCGAGCTCCGGTGGATGGAGAGATGAATGGGAAACTGCAACTTCCCGGGATCGTGAGAGGAAAATGACGTTTCCCTGGACCCCGGCAACGCTCTGCAGTGACCCACCGCAGCCCGGCCGACCACCCCGCAAGGCTGTGGTTATGGAGTGAAGCTACTTACTAAAGCCGCAACGTACACTTTGTACACGGGGTCCGCACACACCATGGACAGGACGCTGCAGCAGGCTCCCACCACGTCCGCCGAGGCGCTGGGCGCGGGGGGCCCTGGGGCAGCCCCAGCGCTTGGGCTGCCCCCGCCCCCGGAGTGCCCGGTGCTCTCCCCGTGGGCCAGCAGCAGCGCCCCACTGACGTCGTGGGAGAGGCGCCGCAGAGCCATCTCCCGGACGCTCCAGTTTCTAGAGAACAGGCAGCCGACCAGTTCCATCCCAAACACCTGCAACCAAACAGGGGGAGCTCAGGGCAGATACGGGGCGAACTGGCGGCACCTGAACTTAGCCTGCATCTCTGCTGCCGAAGGCAGACGGGCAGGGCTTGGGCCTCCACTGCACCACACGCTCCGGAGCACGTCAGCCACCCCAACACCTCTGAGCAGGGGGCATGCTCAAGTTTGGGCGGTCTCTGTCAAAAGTCCTCAACACCTACCAGTTCAGGTAAAGTGAAGCGTGAACTCCGGGGACCGGATGGACGGGTACATGGGAGCAGACTCACTTCTGCACCCCCACGCCCACCCCAAGACAAAACTCCCCCTGAAGAGCGCCGACTTCGTGTCCACGGTCAGGCAGCTCAGGGGAGGAGGCCAAACCGAGAAAGGCCTGGACGCAGGGCGCTCTCCTGGGGAGCGGCGGCCAGTGGAGGTCTCGCGGGGGCTCGGTCTCGTAGGAGGAGGTCAAACAGCAGATGGAAGAGGTGGGACCGCAGCTGGCAGAGTGGGAACAGCCCGACAAAGGAAACAAGGCTTGTGCTCCCATCAGCCACGCTGCACGTGCTCCACCCGCAACGGACCCGCACGTGGCCACGGCCGGCAGCCCGGCCCGCAAAGCCGCAGCCTGACGAGGAGAATGGGGTGCGGGTGCTCCCTGGGGGCTGCTCCCCGGGGGCCACTTCACTGAGAGGAAGCTGCCTGCCTGTCAGCCTGCAGGAAGCACTTCTGAGGACCAGGGATGAGGGAGCAGTTTCGGGAAAACAGATCATGGCATTCACACGTGTGTGCATGACCAGAGTGACAGTGGAGGAGAATGCACCCCCAGGGCACAGCGCCTGGTCTGTGCTGGCGCTGGAAGGCAGCAGCCCTTCTCTGGGGCTCAGCGCTGGCTGGCGGGACAGTGCTCACAAAACACCAGGAGTGTGCAGCCCGGTGCGACCTGAAGCATGAGCAAAGCCCACGAGGCCACGGCCCTGCAGCACCGGCACCCAACACCCCAGCGTCTACCTGAAAGTCCTCTGGGGGCCCGTCAAGGGGTGGGAAGGCCTGTGCCAAGTGCCATTAATGAACGAGGTAAAAAATGGTGGGTCCTTAAGTTTACCAACCGCACTGGACTCGTCACAGGTGCGGACGTGCTGCCACGAGGTGTCGATGCAGCAGGACACACCACGGGGAGGAGGCCACCCCCAGGGTCTCGGGCAGACGCTGCCATGCCCATTCCAGCCGTGAGGGTGCAAGACAGGGCCTGACGGGCCGCTGTGCTCCCTGTGGCCCCTGAGGACGCCGTCTGGTTCAAATCCTGTTTAACACCGGCCGCACCGAACAGCCCGGCCCCCAACAGCCGGTCTACCGAGGAGCGTCTCCGCTCCTGCTCTTGTGCTCGCACCACCAGGACACAGGAGGCAGCGGCTGCGTCCCCAAGTCCACAAGCGAGAAAAATGGCTGCTCTCTTCAGGGCGGGCACGGGGTCTGGGAGGCGGCTCGGCCCCCGAAGCCGCAGTCATTCACGTTCGTCGTTCAGAGAGAGATGGCTCTGGAGACTGTTAAGCTCTGGGACGAGTGGCCCAGTATGAACATGGGCAGTAAAATTAACGTTTTGTTGGTGGGAGAGTCCCGACTAGAGGGACGAGAGTACTTTCTCTACGTGTGAGCGTGGGGCGGACAGCGGCAGTCACTGGTCTGCAGCCCTTTCTTCTAGGGGGGGAGCGAGGTCGCTTACCTGGATCCAGGGCTCGGCTAAGTCCTTGTGCGCCGGAGGGACCTGCTGGGCCCCGTAGTGGGTCAGGTGGAGGCCGCTCTCCTGAGTCCTGCGCTGTGGCCCGGCCAGGGGCTGCGCCTGGGCGCTCGGCGGCTGGGCAGCCCGCAGGGAGGACGGGGAGTCCACGCGGCCGGGCAGCTCGTGACTGAACAGGAAACAGCAAGGCAGCTGTCAATGCCCAACAAGAACACCGCGAGGACGCTGTAACTTCCCTCCAACCCGTCAGCGCCACTCAGGCAGAACTGGTACCTGTAGAAGTCGTGGGACCTCCACTTGGACCTACAGAGCGGACAGATCAGAGGCTCTCTGTTCCTCCTGCACTCCTCCGCCCCTGGGAAGGGGGAGACAGCGTGTCACGCGTCGGCACCGTGTGTCAGGGCAGGGAGGGCTCGGGAGTGGGCGCCCGGGTGTGCCAACGCCGCCATGTCACTAGCTACGGTGTGCGCTGTGCCGCCTGCACGCCACCCCCTGCACCGGCCGCCCCCACCTGCGTGCGCCGTCAGGTGGGTCGCAGTCATGCCTCAACTCCCTGCACTGCTCCGCCCGCCAAGCTGACTCCACGCCTCCCCCAATGGGACCCCAGACCCTAGACGGCCATCTGCGGTGGTTCACACCGCGCGCCACAGCGGCGGGCAGAGGCGGCCAGAGGCAGGCTGACAGCTGTGTGTGCGGCAACAGTAATCGGTGAGCGACCACCCAAGGACCAGCTCTGGGTTTCGTGTGCGCAGCCGCGGCCCTGCTTTGGTCCCGCCCTGCGCACTTTCCCTCCCTCACCAGGCTCCTCGCAGGCCGCGTTCGAACCCTAAAGAAGGTGCAGGTGACCCCTGCACCACACGGGGGTCGGGGTGCTGGTCTCCCCCCTCCACCGGCAGGGAAAGCAGGAGGAACTGCCGATGCCCAGATGCTGACTGCAAGGAGCTTCTGCCGACAGAGCCGCGAGGCTCCTGGGCAGCACCCCATCCCACCGGGACCCGCCCACCACGTGCAGGGCCGCCCCTGGCCCCGCCCCTCGCCCCGCCCCGGGGAGCCAGGCACCTACAGATGGACATGCAGTGGTGGTGCAGCTTGTTCCGGCAGCCGTCCTCGCACACGGTCAGGCTCTCCTCGTCCAGCATGCCCAGCAGGCAGATCGGGCACAGCTGCTCCTCCTCGTCCTTCATGCTGTGAGCGCGCAGACGACGGCGGTCAGCCCGGGGCCGGCGGCAGTCCACCACGCCACCGAGTGGCAGCAGGGGCGCCGCGGCCGCTCACTGTTTATCCCACACTGGCCACACTTGTGACACGGACACCAGCTCTCCTCTGACGAGGAGAGTTAACGTGCCGCTTTCCACGCTGTGGCCTTCGGGGCACAACGTCTCATATGTCCACACACACGCAGTCACACGTGGCCTTTAACTTGCTGTTAACTCGAAAGCCGAGACGCAATGGCTTTGGAGCACCGCAATGAGGAGGGTGAAAACGACCCTCAGCAGACGAAGCACCACTGCCCTCACCCCTGCAGGCACACGAACCTATTCTCCGAACCCGCCGTGGACGCACTGGGCGAGGACGCCGGGTGCGAGTTCGACATGCGGGACACGAACTTCTGGATGGTGCTGCGGGACGGGGCCTTGATGCGGGAGCTGCGCCTGCTGTGGTACCTCTGGAACAGGCTCTCCACCTGGCCAGGAGAGACGGTGCCCACCGGTTCGCACGCGCTGTGCGCACGAGCAGCGCTCGAGGTTCCACCCCTCGTCTTTCCTCCCAGAAGTTTTTCACAAAGCCAACTTGAGAGGTTCAAAACTAAGCCCTGGCTGGTGTGGCTCAGCGGACTGAGCGCTGGCCTGCGAACCAGAGGGTTGCTGGTTCGATTCCCAGTCAGGGCACAGGCCTGGGTTGCAGGCCAGGTCCCCAGTGGGGGAACGTGGGAGGCAAACGCATATCGATGTTTCTCTTCCTCTTGTTCTCCCCCCCTTCCCCTCTGTCTAAAAAGAAGTAAATAAAACCTTTAAAAAAAAAAAGAGCTTCAAAACTAAGAACACACACAGCTCACTAGGGACAGTATTTTTACAGCCAGTGTTTCCTTGCTTTCCAGTTGGGAAAGAGACACTAATTCTTCAGTGAACTGCAAGAGAGCCATTTCCACCCCCAGACCTTCTGGACACCACATCTATTAACATCTGGAGCTCAGGAGAAGTTCAGGAAACACCCTGTGACATGGTTGACCATTTACACTACAGCATTCACCCAAGTCACCTCGAAATTCTTCAGGGTCTTCCGCCACAGCAGGGGGTCCGAGGGCTCCAGCTGGAACACCCGGAGCATCACGAAGAGCAGGTGGATGCAGAAGGCCCCGCGCCCGCAGCTGCAGTTCTGCAGGGCAAAGCGGCGACCACTGAGGCTCACGTGGCTCCATCGGAACCCCTCAGTCGATCACGTTTAAAAATATTCCCAAGCTCAGCACACTAAAGGTTCTAGCGACTGGTGTGCAAGAAAAGTCCACAGCTATCTCCAACAACCAATCTCTCAGTTTGGTGAGTTTATTAAAAAGACTCAATTTGTATCCTAATGTGCGTTGAGTCGCAGTGCAAACCTTTATAAACACGTTACACATATTCAGCCCAGAACCTACTTGGAACTCGCCACAGCTCACTGGGCTGCGATGGTGCCCAAGCCTCAGCTCCCACCAGACACCCCAAACCCACGCACGCAGCCAACCCTACCTGTGGCCCGATGAACACCCGGTACTTGTTGTCCGGGCTGTCCCCGCCCACCAGGAAGGAGTTGGGCCCGATCTGCTGCAGCAGGTAGAGCCGGGCCCGCATCACCTTGTTGACCCGGCGGCCAGTCTCCTCGGGGCTGTACGGGGAGAAGCCGTCGGGGGAAGGGGCTCTCCGAGGGGGCGTGGTCCTCCCACTCTGAAACTGCAGGAGAGTGGCACGTGTTAGGAGACCTGGTCCCTCCTTGAACCGGTGCACTCGCCCAGAAAGGCCCCACTTCAAGCAGCGCCTGGCCTCGAGTCTGAGCGGAGCAGGACAAAGCGTGTTCTGCAAATGCTTTCATCTGACAGGCTCACTGAGCATGACCCTGTGGAGTCTCAGCCGCCCCACGCAGCCCATGACAGCTCTCCAGCTGAGACGACCACGTGGCGATGTTACAAATCAGGACGACCTGCGTCTTTCGACAAGCACCACGTAATCCAGAATCGAAAGCACAAGTTCACCTTGCAGGCCAGCAGAACGACGTCTTTCTGCGGGACCTGAACACCAGCTGCTCCCACTAAAGGTGCAGCAGGCACCCCACCTCAGCTCCTGGCAGGTGGCTCTTCCGACTAGGTTGCCTCCCTGCAGGGGATGGGCACTCCCCGGGGGCAGGGTGGCCTGTGCCGCTCCAGGGCTCCCCAGAGCTCAGTCTTCCTGACGGGGGCCTGGGGCAAGTCCAGTTAGCTGCCTCCAAGGCCTCTGGGAAGGGTGAGGGAAGAGAAGTGCTGGTGAGACGGGGACGCGTGAGGCTCCAGAGACCTGGTGGCTCAGCAACCAGGCTCCTCTGTGCAAACCCAAGGGAAGGGAGGGACACGCCCACACAAGTGTCCAGGACAGCACTGTGCCCAGCCGCCAGAGTGTGGTAGCCGCCCCCGTGTGCAGCCACTGAGGGGCGCACCCAGCGTGCTCTGAATCTGATGGGACCAGAGGTGGACAGTGGGAGCCTCGGGCTAGGGAGGGGCCCACACTGGTTTGGGTGTCCTTCTGGGGAGATGAAAATTGCCATTTGTTGTCGTGACAGGTGCACCTCTGTGAACACACAAAACCCGGAACTGCACGGTTTCGACAGGCCAGCAGTGCAGCACACCAACTGCAACTCAACGCAGCCGATGGTGTCTAACAGGCAGCTACTCAAAAGCAACAGCAAAACCAGTGAACGAGCCCACACACGTGCTCCCGGCCTGCTGAGCACTCGGACTGTGGACGTGCTCACAGAGGCACAGAGTGGCGTGCAGATCACTGAACAACCTACGATTCGTCCGGACAGCAAAACGCCGTGCAGCCGCTGCAGAGGATGAGGGGACCTTTGCCTCGTGTCTGCCCCAGCGTGGAGGTGCGACCCTGGGGCCACCGCAGTGCCCGTCCCCTGTGCCGCGCCAGCTCGACGAGAGCCTCCGTGTTGGGACAGGCCCTCCTGAGACACTTGTCTTTGGCTCGACAGAAAGTTGCTGTCCCACAGTCCCCGAAATGGCACGTCCACGGTTGAGGTGCCGGGGAGGGTCCGCCCCCCGCTGCACGAACACCTTGGTGCAGACCCTGCTGCGCGCTCTGAGCAGCAGGTGCCGGGAGCCCCCGACAGCTGGGCAGCGGCTGAGGAGCCGCCTCGGGTACCGTGGCTGCACCGGGTGCTGCCGAGCTGCCAGCCCTGGGGGTGCAGGCCACACTGTGAGGGCAGCTGTGCCGACTCGGGGACAGAGGACCTCCCAAACGTCACAGAAACTTCACCTGTCTTAATGTCAGCACGTCAACTCACCGGCACCGGGGAAGCCCTCTTCCTCCTCACTCCTGGGGATTCCGACTTTGCCGTGCGCCCTGAGGGTGAGCTGCCGGGGGACGGGCTGCGGCGGCCTTTGGGAGCCGGGGACGCGGGGCTCGTCTGGCCCTCTCCTTGCGTCTCGGCGGCGAAGGCGTTGATCTCGGGTCCGTCTCCTTTAACGGGGATTGGCTTTACCACCTGAATTAAACACCAACACACTGATCACTTGCAAACATACAGACAGTAAGCAAGCCTGAACTCGGAGAGCTCTGTTGTGCAGCATCAGACAGACTTAACAGACAGCCCTCACCCTGCGTTTAGCACCGCAGAGCCGTAAGCATCAGCCTGTTGTGCCCGCACCGATGTCGGCCCCGAAGGCTTCTCCACGGGCTGACATGTGGCCCACACACGCTTCGGGAACGTGGCGTTACCTGCCGCTCCAGGCTGTGAGCGTAGCACACCAGTGTGAAAGGCAAGCGCTCACAGTGCCCGCAGGTAACTGACTCAGGCAGACGGAGGCACGTGTTTCCCCCCCACTTGCACTGGCAGCTGCAGGCCTTGCAAGCAGGACTGGTGGACACGAGGCCACCTGTGCTTCCTCTGGGGCAACGTTCCACCAGAGCAGATGGCTGGGGCAGGGACTTCGGAAACCGAAAGAGCAGCTGGAAGCCCGAACACCCACCTCTGAAGTGCAAATGCAGCTTACGAGGCCTGCTGTTCGTGAAGCCCAGCCCAGCTGCGACCAGAAGGTCGAAGGCACTCTGCGGCCTCAGCACAGTCCCCGCCCCTCCGTTCCACTAGGTGGGCGTTCGTCCACCATACACGCCTTGCCACACCCCACCCCCCACTCTGCCACACAGCTGCCCCGCCCCCTGCCTGTGGCCCCCACCCCACACGCCAGGCGCAGCCGCAGCTGCTGGGAGGGCCTCAGCCTCACTTCCCGTCTGTTTACTGTGCACCAGTCGAGTTCCACAGCCAGAGCTGCTGGCGCCTCCCTCACCTGTCACACCCCTGGGGAGACAGCAGCTGTGGGCAACGGAAGCCTGCCCTGGAGAAGGTGGGGGGGACAGCGAGCCCTGCCCTCCCCGCAGGACCAAGAGGAAGAACAGAATCTGGTCCGCAGACGGTGGGGGTGAAGAGCTGGCTGTGGTTTCTGCACTGTGACTTCTGGGATGACCTGGACCCCGCCCGCTCCCGGGCCCCGGGGAGCCTGCGCCAAGCCCTTCTAGACGCTGGGTGGGCAGGAAGCCGCCACCTTCTAGGACGTGCTGCAACAACTTCCTCTCTCCTCAGACCAATCCGGGGCATGTCCTCCCGGTCCGCTGATGGACGGGTGAGGACTAAGCGGGGCACGCGTGCAGACTTAGCTGGAAAGGGGGGCACTGGTGGGCGAGGGGCAGCCGTGCACCCGAGAGAAAGGAATAAGCAGCCCAGGTGGGCTCCGGGGGCCCCAGCGGGTGGCTCAGTGAGGGCTGCAGGGGTGGGGGGGGTCTGGCTAGCACAGAGCCGCCAGCACCTGCCTCTGACCCGGCCTTCTGAGCCGACAGGGAGGCTCGCTCCCTGCCCAGCCACGGGGGCCACCAGACAGGCCCCTGGGCTTTCGAAGGCGGCTGGTGGGACAGCAGCGCAAGTCTTACTTCCATCCCCTCTGAACCTGCGCAGGCGCCTGGGGGGGGGTGTCACCTGGGGGGTGCTTGACTGACTTTACGATCGTGCCCACATCCCCTTGCCCCTGGTACACACACGTGCGCGCTCACACACTGACACCACGGCCGCCTCTGTGCACAGAGGCCACACGGGACTCGTGGTGCTGGCCGGCCGGGGCGCTGGGCCCCAGAGCACGCGGAAGCCGTCTCACGGGTCAGCGTGAAACCTTCACCGTGGCAGCGTGAAACCACAGCCACAACGTCTCCAAGGGGCACCCGACGCTGAAGAGGAAGAGCGTGGCCGCGGGTGGAGCCTGTCCTCATCTGGGACCCAGGCGCCTCCCCCAAGCCCTGGGCAACCTGTCGGTCTTTCTCAACCCCATGAGATATTTCATCTTTTGTGACTTCCTCTACCTTTGAGATAAAACCCCAGGATAAAATTTGCAACACTGCTTTTGTGTTTCACGTTTTCAGGAAGCTCTCCCAGGAGAGGCTGCCTGCCAGACGCCGCCAGCAGAGGGCAGCGTGGCCTCGTGCCCCAACGCCACGTCCACCCTGCTGGTGCCCCCACACCCCGCACGCCCCCAGGCCCCCGCTCACCACCGGGCCCCGGCGGCCCCTCCTCTCCAGCCACTCGTGCCGCCAGGCGGGCATGCAGGTGGCCTTGAGCTTCTCGCGGATCACCCGCTCCTCGGGGCGGTCGTCCATCTTGTGCAGGCCCCGCGGCGTCTCTCTGCTCTCCATCTCGGGGCTGCAGCAGGTAGGGAGGGGAGAGGGTTACAGGCGGGAAGGAACTGGCCAGGACCAACGAAACGAACCGCCCTGCGTGACGAGTTCAGTGGCCCGGGGTCGGCAGGGACGGAGCTCACAGGGCACCCCATGCTGCTCCGGGCCCGTCCCCACCCATCCCCGGGGCAGAGCGGCGGCACCTTCAGGCGCCCAGCAAGACAGACGTGCAGTGTGGGGAGCACAGGACGCTGGTCCTGCCCGTGGGCAGAGGGATGGTGTGCACTACACCACAGGGGCGCAAAGTGTGTGACGGACGAAGAACGGCGCAGCGTGGGCAGGAAAAAGGTGAACCGGGGAAAGGAGCGGGGAGGAGGAAAGAAAAAACTGATTCTCTGATTTACTCTTTCATTTAGAAAAGACTGATTCTCTTACTCCTTCACTCGGCTGCTTTTCCTGATCTGATTTGATCATGAAACATCGTGTTGGGGTTGGGGAGGAGGGAGAGCAGAGGGAGGGGTGGAGAGAGAGGGGAAGGTGTGCCCCAGACCTGTCCTGCTCGGTCAGCATTTGCCCAGGGAAGTCAGGCCCACAGGCAACCAGACGCCTAGGCTGGCGGCCCCTGGACGTCGCTGCTCCAACCTGTGCAAATGGCAGCCACGTTCCCTCCAGAACAATGGTCCGGGGAGGTGAAGCGCAGGGCTAGTTCTCAAAGGTCAGTCCCACTTCCACCAGAACCACCCCCCGCCCGGCCCAAGGGGCAGGAGAGCCTCCCTAGAAGCCACCCCCCCCACAGATTGGCACCATCAAGTGTCTCTGTCCGTCTTTTCTAGTCCCCTCTCCTGGCACCCAGCCCAACAGGAGGATACTCTCGGCCTAACCAAGCCTCCCTAGGTCCCGGGGCCTCTCTCAGGCCAGCCGGCCAGCCTCTTCCTCACCACCTGTGAAAGGAAGACCCTCTGCTGCACCAATTCTCACTGTCAGTAGCAGCACACTTTGCACGGACCTCAGTTTACTGCTTTAGAATCAGTGTCCTGAAATAGGGCTGCTGGGTCAAAATGTACACTTTTTGGTACCTTAACTAAGACTTTTGATAGGAATGGCAAATTACCTTCGGGAAAACGTATACCCATTCACAATCCTCCAAGTCCAGTTGCCAACTCAGCTGGTGGGAACTAGCAGGCTCCTGAGGGAGCTGCTGCAACCAGAGTCTCATTCCTTCCCCAGCTGCAGGGGGCACAGACTCCCCCTCCCCATCAGCGCCCTCCACAGCGTCCCCCACACTCGGACCAGAAGCCAAGATGCTCAACATGGCCCATGACACCTGCCACGCCTGGTCTTAGCTCACTGCCAAAAACGCCCTCCCGCTCGGGCTCTGCAGAGGTTGCTGCTCACCTGCCCACGCTCACCTTGCTGGTGTCCAGCCCTCTAGCTTCCTTCAACTCCCTGGAGACCAACCTCGACCAGGAATCCCGAGCTCCCTCTTGCACTGTCCCTTAAAGCAGCAGGCCCCACCTTTTTGGTGCCAGGGACTGGTTCTGTGGAAGAGAATTTTTCCACAGACCTGGGCTGGGGGCTGGTTTTGGGATGATTCAAGTTCACCTCCCGCTGTGCGGCCCGGTTCCTAACAGGCCTGGACCCCAACGGGCCCGCGGCCCGGAGCCTGGGGACCCCTGCCTTCAGGTGCTCACTGCCATCTCCAAGCCCCTCCCCCCCAGACTCCCCCATCTAACGACCCTGGCCACACGGACACTGTGGCGCTGACACGCTGTCAGCCCTGAGGACCTTCCTCCTTCCAGACGTGAGATGCGTTCATGTCATTTCAACTTCGCGTGGTTCTGCATTCAATGAACGTTGCACCTGCAACCTAGATGTTACTCGGAACCGTTTCCACTGTTCCTGAGTTAACACGCAAATATAAACCAGCGTGCCCGCGTCTTCGTAAGTAACAGGTGTAATTAACTCCACAGCATGGACTTTCCGCATTTTCACCTCTGAAGTCAGAGCGCCCGTCACCATCAGCCGCTGTGACCTGATGGGCAGGGCTCACCTCCTGCCTTCACAGGGTGCAGGGCACCGTCTCGCTCACCACCCATGGGACCGACCCCACCTGCCAGGAAACATCGTCGCTTCTCAGTTCCATTGGTCTCTGAGACTGAGACCGAACCAGGAGTAAACACTCCTTCTGACGTACTTTCACTGTTTTCTCAAAGCCCTGACATGCAGTCGTCATAGGTCGGACACGTGGAGCACTCGTTTCTACCAGGTGTGTGTGTGACTATGTATGGCGGTGACCTGTCACCTGTCCGATCAGTACCACGCCTACAGCAGGAAACGCCTTTCCAAAAAAAGAGGAGGGCACACGAGCTCCACCTGAACCAAGAGCCGTTGTAAACCCCCGCAGTCTGAGGGCCTCCCGCCCACTGCCCAGGACCTGTGACTCTAACTAAAACCGCACCTGGTCCATTCGACCTTTCGACAAAGGAAATACACGTACTGCGGGAATACCCTGAAGACTTAAAAACACCAAGCTTTTGGCCAGATAAGTGTGAAGTGTGAACAGTTACGGATTAAGCTCCGCCTGCCTTTCCTGCTGGTTCTGCTTCCCGACCTTCCTGGGAATGGACCAGCGACCGACCCGAGTCCCACGGGCACTTCCCCAGGTTGGGTTCCCGGCTCTGCCCCTTCCCAGATGACGGATTCGCCTGCTACAAAGGCCATCCCGTCCCCAGGGGAGCAGCCCAGCCGCCCCACCCGCCCCTCCACAGGCAGTCGAGGGCCTCCCTCCGGGGGCCCAAGGACTTTTCCCCACCTCTGCCCCTCCTACCCACCTCGCGGGTTCGCGCGCCGGCCCTGCCCTCCTCCCTCAGCACCAAACATCCCTCTCCGGCACACGGGTGTGTCCCGTCCACACTGCAGGCATTTTCCTGCTGGCACCTCACAGCCCCAACATGGCGACAGTGATTCTCCCAGCTGACGAGGGAGGTCTGCTCAGTACCGGCCTCCACTCCTCGAGAGCTCCCATCGGCTCTCATTGTCAGTGCGACCGGCCCAGACCGGCCAGACAGCGCCGGCATGGAGCCTGGGGCCTGCGTGCCATCTCCCCCCACGGGGCCCGACGCCCAGGGTACCACGCTGGACCCGCAGAGCCCACCCCTTGGTCTGCATCATGCCCTGACCACAGACGCTCTGTCCTGGGTGGTCTGCGGGGTCTGAGCAAGGTGCGGGGGGCAGGGGGTCCTTTGGGGACGAGGGGAGACAGAGCAGAGCAGAAACTGGGAGTGAGGACGCAGGACTGAAGGAGCAGAGAGCAGGGGTCAGGGAGGGCGGGGACTTGAAGCTGCTCCCCCGAGGGCTGGAGGGTCAGCCGCCCTCTCCACCCGTCTAGCTCACTGCCCCAGCACCCGGCTCACCACGGCTTTCAACATGCCTCTGCAGTGTTCATCTTTAGCACGGATGTGTCTCTCCGCAGTGTGTGACAGGGAGGGACACGGACGTGTCCTATGAGGCCAGGCGTGGCGGCGGCAGGTGCTCGACCTCCTCCCAGCAGCCCACCCAGCAGCAGCTGACACACCAGTCAGCAGCAGGGCCTGGGTGCGAAGCTTGCGTCACTGGTGCGGCAGGTGTCTGCGGTCGGAGCCCACGCTCACGCAGGAGTGCCTCTTGTCGAGGCAAAGGGGCTGCCCCCTGTGGCCGAGACCCGGGTGACCCAAGGGGAAGGCACAGGGCTAAAGGGTTTCCGACCCCCGTGCACACCCGCCCAGCCCCTGGGGAGGGCGGAGCAGCAACGCAGGACTCGCTGCTCCCAGTGCGTCCAAGTCTCCCCGAAAGGGAGCCACCCGTCCAAGTCACTGACGTGCCACAAGCAGAGTCTGACACACACACTGCCGGTGACATCGCTGAGCAACGGAACTGAGACGCTCCAAACAAATCTGGAAGAAGAATCGCTTTTTGAAATGTGCTAAAACGTGAATGTAAAAACCAACCAGTTTCGGGAGGACTGAGACCAATTACGTGCCCTCAACCAAGCCGGGAGACAGGGAAGATGCCCATCACAGGCACTGGCGAGTGTGCCGCTGACTGGCTGGGACAAGGTGCACCCGCGACGGGTGCCACGACTGCCGGGACGACAGGAGGCTGCGGGGCCGCGCAGCCGCACAGCCAGCGGGGGCAGGAGGACACGTGGCGACCAGGAAGCCGACACAGGTTTTAAAGAGAACTGAGACTGACGACTCGAGGTAGGTGCGTAGGAGTAAAGATCCTGGAAGACCAGTAATTTGCGATCAGAAAATACTATTTTTTTAAAAGCCATCAAGGAGACAAAGCAGAGAGGGCCAGGGCAGCCAGCCCACCAAGGGCCTCAAAGAACAGAAGTCAGCCCGAGGCGAAACCAGTGTGCTGTAGGGTGTCTGGCCTTCGGTGCGGCTTACTGGTCGCAAGTCACCAATGAAAACCCGATGGTGATCTCCATGCAGACAAGTGACAGTGGGGAGAGGGTCAGAACCGGACAGGAACCGCGCTGTGACTGTGAGACGCGTCACATCGCAGGAACAGGGCTGTCTGCGCGACAGCGGAAGGCAGAGGCACCAGCTGGCCCAGCAGTAGGGGTGACCCGGACTCGGTCCTGTGGGAGACGCCCCCCTTGCTCTGGAGAGCACTCGCCTCTGTGACAGGGACCCGACACCATGGCCGCTCCACACCCGGGACACAGACGCACGCTCGCCTTCCCCTGGCCCGTGAGTGGGGAGGCCTCCCGGGTGAGACGCTCTGCTCTGCGAGGCTGAGTTCCACAGGGTTCGAGACCAGCAAGGTCCCATTTCTCACGTGCCCCTCCCAGCAAACCCCGTGAGGGCTCGAAGCCCTTCAGTGCCGCAGGCTCCCATCCTTTTGACGTCAGCGCTGAACACGCCGCAGTTCACCCCTCCCTCTGCTGTGTCTCCCACTGGACCCACCGAAGAGATGGACGTGAGCAGCCTCTTCCTTAGCTGTCGACACATCAGCTGACGGCGGCAAGGAAGAGGCTGC